GTAAATGAACCATTTATTTTTCAAGCTTGACTTTTTACAATTTGAACTTTGTTTGCGTAGATATGAATTCTGAAAGAAGTATGAGGGTCTTGTATGACTTTGTACTTCTCCCAGAGTTCATATCTGTCAAACTTACCTGCCATGGACTCTTTCATAAGTTCCATGAAATCGTCTTCGGACAATCCGGGGAAAAGTATTATGTCAGTAAGTATTCTTTTAACATCCTTACTTAAACTCTTGGCTGTCTGTACACATATTACGACTGAGATGTTAAAGTGTCTGAGCTTCTTAAGAATTCGACACATATCTTGTTCTCTATTCTTTAACAAAGGATGAGATGCAAAGTCATCTAAGATAAGAAGACATCTGTGAGGGTAAGTCTTCCAATCGTAAGATTGCAATTTCTTCGAAATGTATTCTATCTCTTTCTGTTTGTTTCTGAAGTGTTTCTTCTCTAATATTCTCTGCATTTCCTCATTTGGGTCTTTAAACTTCGAATTTATATACTCATTTATAGCATTATACTTCAAAACTCTTCTTTGGTACTTCTTTATCCAATCTAACAACTCAGTATCCTTTATACATACTAACTTAGACTTCTTTATAATATCTTTGAACGAATTGACGGTTTGGTCAAATTGACCAGAAGTACTACAAATAACAACTAACTCATAGAATGGGTTCTTCTCATCTAGTTCTTGTTGTTGTGCAGCCATTTAAGATAAGTGAAAGTCTTACCCGACCCAGGTGGTGCAATTAGACCTGTTATACCATTCTGAGCAAATAAGAACTTGTCATGTATAGGCTTTATCTGAGCATTTTCTAACTTCCTCTTGTTCTTGTTTAAAACATTCTCAAATTTCTTGTCAATGTCAGCAAACTTTTTTTCTAACATATTTTTAGAAAAATTAAAATTTTTATCTTTTAGAAAATGTCTAGCGATTTCGCTATCTATATTCGAGACAAGCTTTTCGACAGCAAAACATCTGTCGACCATAAAATCTTACATAGTGTAAACAAGAAAGGTGAATTTGTTCTAAAGTTCTGTTTCTGGGAATATGACAAGAACCATAAAACATTACAAAGAGCAGTCTTAAAATTTGTCAATGACAGACTTGTTGACAGAGATGACACCGATTGGAAAGATGAAGTCCAACAAAAGTTCTTAGAATGCAAAGAAGACACATGCGCTTTTCTTCAAGATGAAATAGAAAACAGAATAGAAGAGCTATTAAAGGACATAGAACTTTTACATAAATATGGTTCGGAGAAATTTGACATAACTCCACCAGAAAAGAAGAAGAGAGAAAAGAAAGTAGAAGAAGAGAAGAAAGAACCAGAGCCAGAGAAGAAGAAATTTGACATGTAAAAATAAAATTTTATTTTTAGAACATTTCTGGGTCAATGTCAATGTTCTCTTCCTCTTTAGGAGTAAACACCGGCTTAGACTCTAAAATCTTTTTACCCAATTTACCTTGAACTTCTACAACTTTAGACTCATAATATTCATAGTCGTCTGCTTTCTTTGGTTCATAAGGTATAACAAGTTTGTATGCTTTGCCTTCTTTAAGGTTTGAGAACCTTCTGTCAAAACTTTCTTTGACTGTTAACATACCGTCAATGTATAAGTCTTCAAATTTCGCACCATTTTTAGTCACAATAGCAAACTTAACTGGTTCGATGTTCCAAACTTTGCTGAATGAAGACTTTTCAAAATGGTAGAAGTAAACATTCAAATATGTGAATGGGTCTAGTTCTTCTTTAAGTCCTGACATGTACTTGTTTACTGAGATGAATTTTGCCATCTTTTCTATCGGATAAAAAAATATTTTTTTTTAAAATTTACTCAGAAAAATTTTTCTTTGTATATACACCATTCTGAACATCTAAAAGACTTTTGACATTTGCCAAGAATGTTCGTTTAGAAGCTGTCATATAACCATATTCTTGACAATATTGTTTATACGAATCGTACAATGACCTTTCATCTAAACACTCAAAGTCAGTTTCATCTATGAACAGTTCATATACACTCTTGTTTGCTTCTAACAATGTTTGTCTCTCTTCGGTATGTGGAATTTGTCTTGGATTGAACTTAGAAATATCTAATGTCATGAAAATGAGAACAAGTGGTTGTAAAAGTCAGATGTCAAAGTTTCTGCTAAGTCGTCAAATATTCTGTATCTTGCATATGAGAATCTGACGTTCTGACAACTACATATCTTCTGTCAGAACTTTCTAACTTATCGGAACAGCATTGTTTGAAACCATAATGAAGTTTGCAACATTTTCACAAACTCTTTGGTCTTTATACTTTCTTTCAACAACTCCAACTTTGTCTGTTATAAGACTCTTCAAAGCATCTGAGTTCAAACTTTGTTGTATCTATACTTTGAAGTTCATTGCAAACTATAAGTTTCATATTCTCAATTGAAGAGTTAAATTTACCGAGATGTTTTCTAAGTTTGTCATATTAGGGTTCGAATAACCTTCTAATAGTTTGCATAAGATATCTGTAAAGAAAGTATTCTTACCTGTTCCTTGTTTTCCAATTATAATGAGAGCAGTTTCATTTTTAGCACTTGGATGTTGTAAGATATTTGCAACCAACATAAGATATACTATACCTTTTCGTTTCCATTGCATATAATTTCTTTGACATGGTCTAACCAAGCTTCTATAATATTTTCTTTCCATTCTACTTGTTCGTATTTATATCCAGTGAAGATAGAATAGAAGTTTGGAGAAGGTGTATAGAACTTTATACTCGAACTGAAAATCTTCTAACTTTGACAATAAGATATCCCAAGCATCTAACATCTTCATTCCAACTTGTACGACTTTTATTTTCTTAAGTTTCTGTCTACATTCTTGTTCAGACACTATTGTTGCTCTTGGTTTGTTAAAGACAACATCCATTCTTTCATGACATAACATTCTGGGGCAGAGTCCAACATAAATGACTAAACGTTTCAAATTCTCGACTGCTTTGTTATAGTCTCTAAATGGACACATATTTCTGAATGCTTGGAAGTCATAAAAATCTGAAACATCTATTCTGTACATTTTTATAAAATAAAAAAAATATTTTTTTTATTCTTGACTTTGTTGTTGCATTTGTTGTTCTTGACTATTTGTTGTTGAAGTTGTTCTTGTAATACAATACTTTCACCAGTTGCATCTTCCAATTCGAAACTTTCTGCCGTCATTGACAAATACATAGGACATAAAAGTTTTACAGGAACAAAGTTTGCGTCAACTAATGTCAACGTATACTTGCCAAAGTGTTTGAGTTCACTAAGGTTGAAAATTCTGCATTCGAATGAACAATAGGCAAACCAGCAGAGAAAGTATTGTTTATACGCATAAGTATCTTTTGGTCATAATAGTTTCTGTCGACATTCGAATAACACTTTGAACCTAAGTTTGAAACAATATATAAGATTGGTGTGCTTAATGTCAATGGAATAGACATTCCTTGTATGACACCTTTTCCTGTTATAGGAAACTGTTGGTAGTAAAAACCAGAAATAAGTTTTGTATTATAGCTCATATTGTTTATAGTAAACTCAGTCGGACATCCAAACATAATGAAACCTGCTCTAGTTGCAGCACATGTTACATCCGTCCTTAAAGTATTAAATAAGTCAACAAAACCTGTTGGTGGTATATCTGAGTAAGTATCTTCAAAGGAGTATTTTTTACCATTCACAACAATAAAGTCTTCTGGTGTCAAAAGAGCAAAAACAGGCTTTAGTCGTCACTGTGTTTAAGGTTAGTTTACAATATCGTCCTTGAGGACTTTGTAAGTTTGTTGTTATAGAATTATATGACTCAGGGTTTTTAGTCGTAATAGTATAAACCATTATGTCTTCTGCATTTACTTAGCAATAAATTTTAATGAAATGTTGTGGTCGTCAAATATTTTTATGACGTCTGAGAAACTATATTTTAAGTTCAACGTTTCACCTCCTTTCATAACGTATATCTTGTCAATGACATTATATGAAACACCACAGCAACTAATGTCGGGTTCTATTTCTTTGATGTTTATATCGTCTGCCTCTGTCAAAAGTTTCAATAGTTCTTTCAAAACTTCATGAGGTGCAATGACATATGAGTTCACTTTTACAGGGTTGTGTTCGACCAAGTTTAACATTATACTTAAAGCTTGACAAATCTTCTCCTGAGTTTGAAGTTTGTCTTTCAGTTGTTGGTAGTCGTTTCGAATATCTGCAACAGAACTTAAATCTCTGCTAACTTCAGGATATGTTGGTTCTTTTACAGGAACAATTGTTATACCATCTTCGTCTTCGTATGGTTTCCCCTTCAACATCTCTGTCTTTGACATTGACAATAACACTTTGACTGTTTGTTTGAGTTGGTGAATTTAACTTCACATCTGCCACCGCCATTAAACCTTTTGAAACACTTACGCTTTTATTTTTCGGAAATGACATTTTACTTAGAATAAAAAGATGGACGTATTCGGATATCTCTTCGAATTGAAGCAGAACAAAGTTTACACACACACAACAATACAAATACATTGACAGAATAGTTCTTTACACAAACAATGGAAAATGTTATAGAATAGCAGTCTTTGCTGAACCTAAATATTTTCATAAAGCAAAGAAAGTTGGTATAACCGAGATGGTGAAAGTTCTTGACGTTGACAAAATATAACTTCAAAACTGACCGATATTACTAAAGGAAAGTTTATAATACAATATTATGTCAAAACTGGCGTACTGTCAATATTTGACGGAGAGAAGTCAGTTCAAGAACAACTTACTGACCTGCTGCCAAAATCTGCTCGATGGAAGCTGTCGTTATGCCAATCTGAGGAGCCCCAGCAGGTTTCATCGAACGAATCTTCAAAAGAGCATCTTCCGTGAAGAGTGCTATTGGTTTTGTAAACTTCTTTGCTTTCAATTCATCTGGACCGTCTCTGTCACCAGTATATTGTATTTGAACTGTACCAACAGTTGAAATACCACCCATAAAGTCTTCTGAGTCAGCAAATGGAATGCCAAGCCAAAAGTTTGAACGGTCTCCATTTGTATATTGAGTTTTTTGACTTCCTGTATGAGTCCATACTTTCACATATGGCATAATAGAACTTTGCATTTCAGGGTTAATAGTTGTTGTGAAGTTGTTGTTAAAGTTCATAGCATCTAATGTCAAGTTGTATGACCTCATATCCTCAACTGTAGAATATTCTTCTCTTGGATAATATTTGCCATCTATGTTTATATGATATTTAATACCAGGGTTGTAGAAACAAGAATAGTCATTTATAGTTCGTCTGAACAGTACAAACATAGTATCTGCATGTTTCATTGCAGTTGTTAAAGCAATATCTGTTCTTGCACCTGGGTCAGCACTTTGGTTTCCAACTTCACCTGCAAAGTCTTTGACAGATATTTGGTGTATAGGGAACATAAGTGGAACTGCAATATATTTGGCAGCTAAAGCATTTGAAATATCTGGGTCCAACATATAAACGGCAAGTCTGCTTTCTATTCTCTTGCATTCAAATTTTTCGCATGTAAACTTAACTGGGTCCCAAGCAGTTCCACCAGCATTGAAATAATAGTTTACTTCAGTGTTGAAGTTTGAGAAACCAAAGTCTAAGTCAACTTTGTCTTTGCAAAAGTCACAGAACTTGGCTCCACAGTTCCAGCTACAGTAATGCTGAATGGGTCTTGTGTTGGTGCAATGACTAAGTTATTTTTGCTTGGAGTAAGTTCAATAGAAATTTTTCCTGCCCAGTTTGGCAAGTATCTTAAAAACCTGAAGATGAGGAAAGATGACAAAGGAACTCTAAGTTTCAGTTTTACTTTAGTGGCAGCATTTCCATCTGAACCAGAAAGGTTAACATAAACTCCTGGAACGTTAGGGTCAAGTCTTCTTATTTTCTCAATAGTTGCATACTGGTCTGTTTGTTCTCTAGCTTGTGGTTGTACTGAGTTTCTCAAAGCGAACCATTCATAGTTTGCCCATGTTACTGTTTGAACTAAGTCAGAGTTAGAATATATCTTATATCCCATGAAAACTTCTGGAGCATATTGGTATCCGACATAGAAAATTCCATTGCAACCTTTCTTGTCAGACAACTTGGCAGAAGGTTTTATTTCAATGTCTTGTTCCACGTATAAGAATGAGTTGTCAATAGAAATAATATGAAACCTGTCGCAAGCAATATCTACTGTTGTTGAAGAACCTTCTCCAAACTCACCTACGTTTCCATAAGAAACAGCAGTTGTATATTCGTAAGTTCCAGGAACTATTTCTGACCTTCTAATGGCATTGTCGCATTCATTATACCATTCGGAAACATTTCCGTTCATGGCATCCAAAACTGTTGGCGTTATATTCTGAGCGGCGTACATTTCATATGGGTAAAAATATAGAATAGTTGGATTTATATGTCATAATTGTTTCGTACCAAGCTTTACTTTCTTCCTGACTGAGTTTTTAACTCTTCTTTTTCCTTCATTGCCACTACTTTCACTAGATGAAGTTACTTCTTCACTACTTTCACTTTGTTCTACTCTTCTTCTTTGGTGTCGCTTTTGGTAACTTGCCCTCTGCTTCAAGTTGTTGCATCTTTGCATCATGTTCACCTAGTATGTTGTAAATTTCCCATGTCCTTTTTGCCTTTGGGCTCTGGTCGCCCATCTCAGGTAACCTATATCCTAGAAAGAGTTTGTCATAGTTTGTATTTGAGTCTTCGCGTATTGTTTGCATGACTCTTTCCTGAGTTTCCGGTTCAAGCTCTTCAAACAGAGCTTGTCCATATGGAATAAGCTCGTTTCCAAATATATGTTTTTGTAGCCATTCTGGTTTTCTTTCCATGTTACCAATAATATCTTTTGTGAATGGGAAAGCTTTTACCCAATGTTTCAGTCTTGCGTCATTTATTTCTGTAGTTGGTTTTATTTTGTCAAGGAACATGTTTTCAATACTAACATTTCATTTGGTACTGTCCATTTGAGTTTTCTTAAATATTCATCCCTTCTCGGTTCATTGTCTGCAAAGTAAGTTTTTATGACATTTTGCAAACTTTCGTTTGCAAGGTCATGTACAATAGGTTCTCTTCCTTCTCTCTCCCTAACTTTCTTTCTAAACTCTTCACCAAATATACCATCTCTATGGTTCTGTGTAGTTCTTTGAGATAAATGTTTTAGAACGTCAGGTGTTATATTTCCATCAGCCATGTTCATTTCATACTGGTCCAAAATATCTGCATCTTTCATATCTTTCAACGGCATTAAAGCCGCGCTGAAAATACCAGCTATATCTGGTTCACCATTCACTTCCATTGCGTCTACAACTTCTTGGAATTGAGGTTGTAAGTTTATGAACCACCTATCCGGATTAGCTTTATGACCCCATCTCATTGTAGTTCCATAGTCTGCAGAAACAAAAGTAGGTTTGTTTCCATATTTGTTAGGTTCTGAATGAACTTTAAACAATGTTTCATTTCTATATGTTTTGTTGAAATTTAACCTTTTATTTTCACCGAGTTCAGCCGAAGATTGAACGTTATATGGTCGTAAGTAAAAAGGGTTATTGTATTTGCGTACATTTTCTTTCAGTTCTTCCATTCTTTGCTGAATATTTTCATCTGATGTTGGAGTCTTTTGTATGTCGGCGAACATTTTTCGATATTCTTCTACTTTGTCAGCCGAATTTTTCTTAGACTCTTGGAAAGATTCCATATTCTCCTCATACTCTTGTTGAGGGTCAAGATTTTTCGGCTGTTCCAAATCTTCATCTAGTTCTGTGAAGTTAGTTTCCAAAGGAGGGACTTGTTCGTTTCCTTCAGGCTCTTCTAGCTGTTGTTGCTGAACTATTTCTTCCATGTCTGGTTGTATCTGAACTTCTTCCTGTGGAGTTTCTTGTACCTCATCTGGTGGCATTTCATATATTCCGAGACCGTTTTTAACAAGTTCCCTATTTAAGTCATCCGCATTCATAACCCTTTCTTCTTTCGTTCCGTCTCTATTTTTACGCGTTTCATGAAGAGGAGTTGAATCATCATTTATCTCTGACATCAAATATCTCGGAGTAAATTCAGTCATGTCATTTGGATGATATGCTATTAAATCATATCCCTTAGCGAGCTTGTATTTTCCAGGTTTGAGATTATATCCAATTTGGTGCTGAGCCATAAAGCTAAATAGGTTCGGGTCAGTATTTCCTTCCTTGAACTTTCTAATAGCTTCTTTATATCTGTCACTAAAGTCAAGAGTATCTGGGTAATCATATTCTTCCTTAAGCATTTTTAAGAATTCTTGGTTTCCTTGTTCTCTACTTCTTTTATGTCCTTGCTCTGTTTGTGCTGGTTGTTGTGCTGGTTGTGGAGGTGGTTGTTGTGCTGGTTGTGGAGGTAGTTGTTGTGCTGGATTTTGAACTGTTGGTTGTTGTGTTGGTTTTGGTGCATGCTTGTGTCTGTGTCCATGTGACGATGTAAATGTTTTAGGTAGTCCTGGTGCAGGTGCTTCTCTTGGAGGGTTTGGTGGTATATAAGTTCCACCAGCTGGCACATATGTTCCATCTGCAGCATAATGTCCTACCTGACTTTTCGTTTTTAAGAAAGCATTTACTAGGTCTGTTTTGGTCTGTTGTAACTCTTTTTCTTGACTTTCCACAACAGTTGCTCTAACGGCGTCATAGGCACTTTGAACTGCCTGTCTAGTTGCTGCATCTGTTATTTTCGTCATATTTTGTGCTACTTCTTTTAACTCTTTGTCGAAACCTTCAGACTTCAGTTTCTTTCCAGATGAGAAATCGTTCACTAGTTTCACCTTACTATGAAGAGCTTCGAAGGCATTCTTAAAGTCGGCATTCATTAAAGCTTCATTTGAACTGTCTTCATCCGCTTGTATTTTTGTCCTTATTGACCCTATAAGTTGGGCTGCTTTAGCGTTGGCTTGGGCATCTAACCAGTCATTATTAGCTTTTATATATTCTGCGCTTTTCATTGCCTTTTGCATGGCTGCGTCGTTATTTTTACTTTCTTGTGCTAAGTTTTCATACTGTACGGTTTGGTTTTGCAACTGTAAAAGTTTTTCTGCCTTTACATTTGCTTCAACTTCTTTTTTATACTCATCGCTATCCATATATGTCTTCAGGGCTTTTTGTTTTATCTCTTCATCTTTCAGTACTTTATATTGAGTAGTATGGTTTTTCAAATTTATAACATCTTGTTCCATTTTTGCTACTTCTGCTGCTTTTTCTGACACTTTTTTCGCATATTCCTCTGTACTTAGTTCTTTCAGTTGTTCTTCTTTCTTCTTTTTCTCTACGTTTAACTCATTGATTTCTTTGTGTGTCTGTCATATTCTAGTTTCTTTTCGTTTTCACTTATTTGTTTCTGTATGTCTATGTTTGACTTTTTGACATCTGTTATTTGATTTTTGAGTGAACTCAAATTCATTTGACTTTGAGGGTTATAAGCTGTTCCGTCTGCAGCTCCACCATAGCCTGCATTTTCGCTAAAAGTGCCGCTCTTAAACCTCCACTCTGTGCACCAATAACTCGGTTTAAAAGCATAGGGTTGCTTGACATTTGTTGCAACATAGTGGGGTCATTCATCATTTTTGTTGCAACTGTTGTTGTGGTGTCAGTTTTACTATTGGATGTTTCAATGCTCTCTTCCTCTTACGTATATTCTTACGTAGCTTACGTGGCATTTTAAGTGAAGTAAAAAACGGTTTTTGTAGTTTAAAACATGCGGCTGTCACTTTTTTGTTTGCATATCTCTTATATAGTGAAAAACGGTTTTGTCACTTTTAAAAAACGGAGTTGTCTGTCACTTTTTAAAAACGGTTTTGGTTTTTATCACCGGCTGGTCGGCTGGGGTTCGGTCCTCCTCTTGGGTCTTGGGCAAAATTCTTAGGGCTAGAAGGGGCGCAGCCCCTGGAAGCCCCTCATACCTGACCTTATTCTTTTAGCTACTTGTAAAATAATCTAATTTTATATCATCATTTTACCGGATTATTCTTCAGTACATCGATTGTGTATCTAAAATAATATCATTATCCTTATTCTGTTTTTTCCAAAATTCTTTTAAATATCTTTTTTGGTTAGATTACTTTATACTTTTTACTTTTATTTTATAATTTCAAAAAAAAATTTGGTGATTGTTCTATTCTGTTACAATGTGCATTATCATATTCTAATGAATTATTCATTACATACATTTAAAAAAACTTGTTAAAAATGAAATTAAAAAATTATGTTTATTATTACGCTGTGAATGTGTCAACAGCGGTCATGCCTGTATCTCTATCCCATATTTGCCACAACCTTTCTGTATCTGCATTTGTGTATTTCGGTTTCAGCTGATACATTTGATTTGGCGTGTAATTTGTTCCAGTTAATGGATTAATTGGGAGATCTTCATGCAGTGTGTTATTATTGTACTCCCAAATAAAGGCAGGAATAGCCTGAATGCTTTGGCAGCGCTCCAATGTCGGCCAGAATCTCTCAATCTTCCCATTTTGGTAGGGAGAATGAGAGTCTGTATGCCGCCATTGGACGCCCCAAAGATCAAGTAGATCTTGAAAGGCGCCCCTATTTTCTGAACCGTTGTCGGTCCAGAAACAATAAGGGGCGCCAAATTCAATGAAGGCGGAAGCCGCAACGTTCGCTGTCGTCGCTGCCAGCATATCTGGTATTTGTATACACGCTAGGACTTTGCGGCTAAAATCGTCGATTATGCCATAAATATACTGGCCACGAACACCCCTAAAATAATGAACATCTGCGTGCCAGATAAGATTGGGTGAAAGCGCCCAATATCTTACTGCTGTTTCTGGCCCGGCATGCTCTAATCGCGTCTTGGTGAAATGATTTTCTTTGAAGTATCTGCGTACTTCTCTATAAGATACATCAATTTGTTGTAATTTCAAACGTTTCCATTGTTTTGTTTGACCACAGGGAAAGGCCCAGTGGTCATGTATCACAGCAAGAGCTTTGATTTGGTCGTAGGGATTGACCCTACGACCTTTCTTGCCTTTAGGCAATGGGATATTCTGTAAGCTAAATTGATTTTGTAAAAAAGATTTTGAAACATCTAAATATTTTAAATCATTTGATTGGAGGGTTGGGGCGATGGGAACATGGGTGCAAGCTTCTTCCCATGTCATTTTACCTTCTTCAATCTGATTGGAAATACCAATTAGGTAAATTCGATCGACATACCCTTTGTAAGGATTCATTCTAATGAAGTACGTTAACAATCAAAATATTCTATAAGTGTCTAGTATGGAATTCAAAAGAATAAAGAAAATGGTAACGTAAATAAACGTATTATGAAATAATTTATAATTAAAATGAAAAAAAGAAAAAATAATAAGTAAAGTGACTGGAAATGAAAATGAAAATCAGTGTACAGTTTTATTTTTTTCTCGCTGTGAAACGTATTCGGTGAGTGGGGGACAAACTCGCCCATTGTCACTTTTCATTAACCTTAAACTTGTAATTTTCATTATTTTTAATTAACCTTATTTCTTTCCCAATTCCTGATTTATTTTATTCACTTACTATTAAAAGTCACATTTTAATAAAATATAATAATTTATTTATAGCATTTTTTACTATACTGTAATAAAAAATTAATTATAATAAATTAAATGTTTATTAAATCAAATGTTTTCTTTGCAATAATATTTTTAATGTTGAGTAAACAATGTTGGGATCAAGTGTATCATTTTTCAGACCTTTCTGAACAGCTTCAAGCATACTGATGCATTCGACTTTTTTAAATTGTGTCATTTCTTCGAAATCTCTTGTGACTTTTTTGATAACTTTAACACTTCTCTCTGAATCCAGACCTTTAATTTGCAACTTAATCAGGAATGAAGGAACAACACTGGAATATAACTCGATGACAAGTTCATCGAGTCGAAGATTTGGTTGTACACCACTTGTATGTGCCGGATACCATTGTGTCAAATTTTTTCTGAAATTAACTTTAAAAGTACTAAGTAAGATCATGAGATATAGCAATATATGTTTAAACCAACTTATATTTTGGTTGTACACCACTTGTATGTGCCGGATACCATTGTGTCAAATTTTTTCTGAAATTAACTTTAAAAGTACTAAGTAAGATCATGAGATATAGCAATATATGTTTAAACCAACTTATATTTTGGTTGTACACCACTTGTATGTGCCGGATACCATTGTGTCAAATTTTTTCTGAAATTAACTTTAAAAGTACTAAGTAAGATCATGAGATATAGCAATATATGTTTAAACCAACTTATATTTTGGTTGTACACCACTTGTATGTGCCGGATACCATTGTGTCAAATTTTTTCTGAAATTAACTTTAAAAGTACTAAGTAAGATCATGAGATATAGCAATATATGTTTAAACCAACTTATATTTTGGTTGTACACCACTTGTATGTGCCGGATACCATTGTGTCAAATTTTTTCTGAAATTAACTTTAAAAGTACTAAGTAAGATCATGAGATATAGCAATATATGTTTAAACCAACTTATATTTTGGTTGTACACCACTTGTATGTGCCGGATACCATTGTGTCAAATTTTTTCTGAAATTAACTTTAAAAGTACTAAGTAAGATCATGAGATATAGCAATATATGTTTAAACCAACTTATATTTTGGTTGTACACCACTTGTATGTGCCGGATACCATTGTGTCAAATTTTTTCTGAAATTAACTTTAAAAGTACTAAGTAAGATCATGAGATATAGCAATATATGTTTAAACCAACTTATATTTTGGTTGTACACCACTTGTATGTGCCGGATACCATTGTGTCAAATTTTTTCTGAAATTAACTTTAAAAGTACTAAGTAAGATCATGAGATATAGCAATATATGTTTAAACCAACTTATATTTTGGTTGTACACCACTTGTATGTGCCGGATACCATTGTGTCAAATTTTTTCTGAAATTAACTTTAAAAGTACTAAGTAAGATCATGAGATATAGCAATATATGTTTAAACCAACTTATATTTTGGTTGTACACCACTTGTATGTGCCGGATACCATTGTGTCAAATTTTTTCTGAAATTAACTTTAAAAGTACTAAGTAAGATCATGAGATATAGCAATATATGTTTAAACCAACTTATATTTTGGTTGTACACCACTTGTATGTGCCGGATACCATTGTGTCAAATTTTTTCTGAAATTAACTTTAAAAGTACTAAGTAAGATCATTTATTTTTGCATAATATAATGCCAATATGGTTTCTTTTGATTTTATTTCATTTATAAGCAAATCAGATTTACCCAAAAACTCCACTCCATAAGCGTTCATTTGCTAAATTAAAAAGTGACAATGGGCTAGTCTGTCCCTTTCTCCGTATTCGGTCATTTTTTTAAAAAATTAATTTTTTGTTAGAGATAAGAGCTAAAACTCGGTAAACAACTTCTTTATGTCTAGAAAATTCTATCTTGCCTTTTATTTTTTTCTCGCTGTGAAACGTATTCGGTCATTTTTTTAAAAATTAATTTTTTGTTAGAGATAAGAGCTAAAACTCGGTAAACAACTTCTTTATGTCTAGAAAATTCTATCTTGCCTTTTATTTTTTTCTCGCTGTGAAACGTATTCGGTCATTTTTTTAAAAATTAATTTTTTGTTAGAGATAAGAGCTAAAACTCGGTAAACAACTTCTTTATGTCTAGAAAATTCTATCTTGCCTTTTATTTTTTTCTCGCTGTGAAACGTATTCGGTCATTTTTTTAAAAATTAATTTTTTGTTAGAGATAAGAGCTAAAACTCGGTAAACAACTTCTTTATGTCTAGAAAATTCTATCTTGCCTTTTATTTTTTTCTCGCTGTGAAACGTATTCGGTCATTTTTTTAAAAATTAATTTTTTGTTAGAGATAAGAGCTAAAACTCGGTAAACAACTTCTTTATGTCTAGAAAATTCTACCTTGCCTTTTATTTTTTTCTCGCTGTGAAACGTATTCGGTCATTTTTTTAAAAATTAATTTTTTGTTAGAGATAAGAGCTAAAACTTTGCAGACAACTCCCCCATGTCTAGCAAATTTAACATTCGTCTCCCATTTTTATATATTTGGTTTAGAATGTTCGAAAATGCGTAATATGGTCATTAATATTAATTGAAAAGAACCTTGAATTAATTCAATCTGATCTCACAAAATATTTTAAATTACAAACTTTGTAGTTTGAATAGATAATTAGTATTAAACTCAAATAACTAGTTTATTTTTGAATAAAAATTATTTGAATTTATTCAATTTTGTGAATTTTCCTTCAGAAATCAAGTTTAAATATCTTATTTGCCATATAATTATAAATACAATGAAACATATTCGAAATTGAAAAGAATGACTTTTTCTGTTCTTTCAATCATTCAATTTGAATTTTGCAATATTGGATTTCTCATTGAATAGCTATTAAAAACAACAAGCAATTTAACTTACATTCAAATTTATTTGTGTTATATTCAATCTTCTCAAAACTTATAATTTTCGGCTATAGCATGATTCTATGCTATATAATATAATAAACCTATAATAGTATCATTCTTTCAATTATTTGAAGAGAAAACCGAAAAAATCTATTTTCGGTCTATAACAATATCTTTGTCTGATTTTGTTAGATTTACAAATTATAACCTTTTGGCTGACACGAGAAATCTTAATTGAACAATACATTATAAAGTATATACAGTACTTTTAACATTAACCTTGCATTTTACATCAAATTTTTGTTAACAAATAATTCAAATTAGTTTTATTTGCTTGACATCCTATTTAGAATTTTTTCCGACAGTAAAACGATGAAAAGTGAAATGGAAAAATTCTCTCAATTTCATTTCAAAGGTAAGTAATGAATAAATTTTATCTAATACAATCGTTGATCAAGAATCGGATGTATATCTTAGCGACTTGAATAGATTATTCCGATCAAATATTAGTATATTAAAACGTTGTCAGATATTTTGAACTTTATTGTTTTAAAGAAATCGATCTTTTCTCTTTTAAACGAACTTCAATTATGCCAGTCTGACATTTTAAAGCTCCACTCTAACTTCAATTTGTATCACACTTTGGGATTAGGGGACAAATTTTCTATTTAATATAAATTAAAAATTAAAATCTGAAAGTCCCAGTAGTATATTGGTTAGAATAGATCCTTGACACGGATCAGAGGCCAGTTCGATTCTGGCCTGGGACATTTTTTTCTTTTTACATTTCCATAACACCTTCATAAGATGATAATGATAAATCCATATACTGTACATTATGCAATTAGATATATAATCAAAATTGATTGATATTTTAAGAAAATTACTCGAAATCCCATAAGACGTCTGTTGATTAGGAAACGATCATAAGTGTTCAATTCTATAAGTTGATTTTATACGATAACATCCTTGTTTAGGAAATTATCATAAATTCGCACATATTTTTGCTTCGTTGGAATGAATGAAGCATTTTTTACTCTGAGGATGCCGTAAGACCTTCATTTATGTAGAATAGCTAATAGTGCAATGTGTTTATATTCCTGTAATATAAATTTTGACGTTGAATTGCAGATCATAAAAGTGACAATTTCAACAACTCTTCATTAATTATCTATTTGATAACATTAGCAATCGTGGAATTCATTTAAAAGTTTTAACTCTTTGAAAATCATTTAAAAATGTTTTTGTTTTGTTCATTATCCCGTTCCTACCTTTATCAACTCCATGAAGAACGTGCATTTCTCTCATGGATGAGGGAAACTGGTAACGTTTTCACAGGGGATGAATATCATTTCAGGTTAGGAATCTTTTTGAATTCAAAAAGATTCGTTGAGGAGCATAACAGGAAAGAAACATCATTCAAACTTTCATTAAATAGCCTTGCACACCTTACTCCTTCTGAATACTAAACACTTTTAGGAGGAAAACAAATGAATTTTGAATCAAAAACTATCAAAGAATTAGAAACAATAGTTGGTGATATCCCAGATGAAATTGACTATCGTACTAAAGGAGCTGTAAATGAAATTAAAGACCAGAAGCACTGTGGTTCTTGCTGGGCTTTCGGTTCTTGCGCAGCTATGGAAAGTTCATGGTTTTTGAAGCATGGAACATTATACAGCTTATCAGAGCAATGCCTTGTTGACTGCTGCCATGACTGCTTAGGTTGCCACGGCTGCCTTCCTTCTCTTGCTTTCGAATACGTCAAAATTTTCATGCATGGACTTTTCGAAACAGAAGATAACTATCCATATCAGGCTGAACACCACAGCTGCAAATTCGATAAAACACGTGGTGTTGGAAAATTAACAGGATACCATAAATGCAAATCAAATGAAGATCAGCTCAAGACAGAAGTTGCTGCAAATGGCCCATACGCCGTAATGATTAACGCTGATTCCGAACAATTCAGATTATATTCTTCCGGAGTTTTCGACAATCCAAAGTGCGGCAAGATCATTCTCGACCACGTCGTTACTGTAATCGGATACGGTGTAGAGGATGGAAAAGACTACTGGCTCGTCAGAAACTCTTGGGGCAAGTATTGGGGACTCGAAGGCTACATTAAGATGTCTAGAAATAAGGATAACCAGTGCGGAATTGCAACAGAAGCGGTTATTCCCCTTATTGACTAAAATTTAAGCGATTAGTATTATTTTTTTTATTCTATTTAAAATTGAATTTCATTTACTCTGGAAAACGAATACTAACTGCCAAAAATCTGCATTCCCCTTTTTAATTGATAATATTACCTAAATAAAATAATAACGAATAAATTTTAAACGAATAAATTATTATCCTATGATAGCATCTATAAATCTTCAAAAATCAAATATTTTTATCGTGTTAAAATCATATAATAATGCGTATATAATTGAAAAAATTGAAATTAAATAAATTTTTAATCTTAAATTTCCAAAAAAATCTGAGAATTCTAAAAATCGTTTACAAAATCTAGAAATGCTTTGATGAATTTCAAGAAATACGAAAAATTTGGAAAATTAGAATGCCCTAAAATTACTTCTATAGTTAACCGTTAACAGTATTCGGTCAAAAAATCATCGAAAATGAGGAATTATGATATCGATTATCATCGTTTACTCCAAAATGATAGTTAGAAATCAACATTTTAACATCTTAAGGAAATCCAAGTCATTCCAACCTCCAACAAGTTACAATGAATTCAACGTGATTTTTCTTTGCATTACGATCGTTTGCTGACGAAAAATATCACAATCTTACGATTTTAAGAAAAATCAGTTCCGAAAATCCAAAATTTTACGATTTATTTTTTGGATTCTATCTGAAATATGATCGCATATAAGACAAAATCCATATTTATAAGGATATTAAAGCAGACTAAGAGTTAAAGCAATCAATATCAAGGAATTTACGGATATTTAAGCACGATATAAACAAAATATTTAAGAATGATCCAAATTATACATATTTCGAGTGACATTACTTACACAAGCACGAAAACATCGAATCCGATGCTTCTTTGTGAAAATTTTTGTAAATTTAAAAAAAATTTTTTAGTCTCTTGGAATTTCAATAACTTTTCCACCATTCTTTGCTGATTCATGAGCTGCAGCGATCAAGCGCATAGAGTGGAGGCCGTCCTTTCCATCGATTCTCTTTCCTTCAAGAATAGACAAAGCGTGGTGTTCCACGGCCGATTGGTAGATATCCTGTACAACTTCCTGCTTTACCTGTTCGACGTTGCCTTCGCTATCGTCGAGTTCGAGTCTGATCTTTGGTTTTTCTGATGCAACTCCGCTGAACTGGAAAAGAGTTCCGTATGTTCTCAACACCTTCTTAGAACCGTAGATTTCGTATCCCATCTGCATTGGAATCGAAGAATCGTTTCCTCTGCGATCTGCGAAAGAAACTCTTACAGTTCCAATGTTTCCGTTCTCTAGGAACACTTTGATGTAAGCGCCATCTTCGACATTGGACTGAGTAAACTTCGGATGGTATGTAGCTGCAATCTTTGTAATTTTAGAACCGAGAATGTACTCGAGAGAATACATGCAGTGGCTGCCTACGTCACCTATTGGGCCGCCAACTTCGTTTGCTGCGTTGCTTCTCCATTCGTTTGGCTTGTCAAGGGCTAATCCGAACTCCATATGGAAAACAAAGTCATTGATTTCGCCGATCGCCTTGGAATCAACAATTTCCTTAGCTTTGATGTTGAGGCCGTTGAAAACCATCATGTGATCGATGAAAAGAGATTTGTTGCATTCTTGAGCAACTTTGACGATTTCTTCGGCATCTTCAACGTTTGTAGTCATTGGCTTCTCAAGGAGAACATGCTTTCCGGCCTTAAGTGCACGTATTGCAATGTCTTTATGAGAAAGGTTTGGAGTAACGATGAAAACTGCATCAATATCTGGTGAGTTGATCATTTCGTCAACTGTATACCATTTGATACCGAGGTTTTCGATTTCTTTGCGATTTCTGTCACTTCTGCTTGAAACACCAACTAATTCTGCGTGTTCTGGCTTCTTCCAGCCTGGTTTGAAGCCAAAGGCCTCAGGAACAAGACGAGTTGCTGAGAGAAGACCGTATCCGATGATACCATAGCGAACTTTCTTTCCAGACATCGAAAAAATAATGATTGTGAAGTGACCACAATCAAATTTGCCAAATTTTATATCGTAGTAAAAATAATATTCCCATAAGCATAATAAAGCAAAATTTCAAAATTTTTGTTTTCAAAACCGATCACTTTATTGACAAATCTCAAACCCAACGTAAAAATAACAATTTTAAGGACTTTCGGAGACACTAGCAAGTAAAGTGAATGAAAATATCACTGTTATTCATCTAATAACCACAAATTGATCGAATTTGATAAAAATAACTTTCAAATTCCCATTAAAATTGAAATTTATTTGAATGAAGTCCATACAAATAGTTTGGTGAATCCAGATTTCATCATCTTATAGCTCCATTTCTTTCCAATTTATATACTGATCAAAATGATTTGAATGTCAAATTTTTCTGCAATCACGAATGCGAATTATCATCATAACTCATCAGTAAATGCACCTTATTTCTGGATCTACAATAGTACATCAGAATGAGAAGTTTACTGTTGCTGCATTTGGGCAGGCTTACATGAGTAACATCTACCATGCCCACAAAGGTCGTTGGTATTACGAGCTGACACATTATTCAGGCCCAAATCAGCATGTGAGCGGATTTTTGCTAAACCACATTAATTATGCTAGAGCCCTTTTCTACCCGAGAAGTATTTTACCAGAGGCGTCAAAAATTTTCTCACTGGGTTTTCGTCTATCAATCCCAGCTCATTATATACGCAACCAATCAAAAATCTGATATGGGAGTCCAAGGCTAACTTTTTGTTGTCTACCTAATAAAAGAGGAAGCAGCATTAGTGAGAATAATCGCAAATATTCAATTTAAATTATCTTTTTATTCTTAATTTAAAGTGACAAAAAGAATAAAAAACCTATTCTAAGGCATGTTGTTATGTAAATGAGACTAGACATCATATTTTATGTTATGAAAAAAAAATATTTAGAATTTTAGAACAAAATAAATAGAAAAAATAGCATAACTTATAGATGTGCGTATATTAAATTTAATAAATTAAGAGAAATTATTTTTGGCGCCAAAATTATTCGTTAACTCTCAAATTTTTCTGAGTCAATAAGCCGCCAAAAAAGTGTCATTTCTTTATAGGAAAGGAAACCTATTTGACGAACAATCCGGACACTAGTGCCTCAGCGAATTTCCCCAAACCCACCAATCCCCTCCCTGCTGTTGTGCACCATCGATGGAAAGTAAGTCATCAATAGTCTCTTTTCCTGATTTCAAGCTAACGTTAGATCATTCATGAAAGAAATCATTGCCTTTCATCAGAGACTTTCGTTATAACTGCGCTGCTCTCAAGTTCATCTTGAGAAATTTACGTAATAACTGAATTCCCAAAGTTCTTTAGGTGATCCAAAACACTGTAGCTGCTTGAACTTTGGACGAGCCTCGCACCCCAGAGAATAGAAATCCCAATCTTGCTCATGTTTAGTTGAATTAGTCTGCAGCAGTACAGCTCTGATACCACAAGATCGTGATGTATACAAAGTCACAACGCTATTTGATTCAACAACTAGCTAGTTTTGACATCAAATTGCAAAATTTGACTTCGTTATGAGCTCTTTGTAGCAAAAATACATTACACTTAAAGACTAGTTGCTAGACTGTAGTAGTTTGTTCGTATATATCTATTTTTCCCCAACGTATTGCATACTACATTTTGACAAGACTTGCAACCTTATAGTAACCTCGTTGGGAATTGTTCAAGCAAAGCGTAGGTAGTTAAGGTCGAGTAAGAGTTCTTCTTAAATCTTTCACTGAATGAGTAGGTGTTGGAAGAACTGTTCTCTAAAGCGATACAGTTGCGCTACATGTTCGTCAACTTGTCTAGAAATAAATATATCATTTGTTTTATACGTTTTTTCGTAATAAATCTATTTGTATTTGTTGTATTTGAGTATGAAGATAACAAAAACTACGGCATAAGACGCAGTACACTGGGCTTCGTTGCCATTTTATTTACCATGTTAAGAATAAACTTAACAGACATGCTTTGTTTTCGACGAAGCCATCTAAAATAACGTACATCTAAATAAAACTAAAAAACTGTAAAATTTCTTTATTTGATAGTATACTTCAAATTATGCACTATACCTTCTAGAATTCTATAACACTCTTTGCATATAATTTTTTTAAAAAAAGTTATATCTCGACAAAAATATGATTTATCAATAGAGTATGTAAAATAAAACTCATTCGCAGTATTAAAAAATCGTAAATCTTTCCAAAAAAATTTTGAATTACAAATTTTAAAACTTAAAACAACATTTTTTGAAGCGAAAAAACGAAATCTAATTTTTTTTGGAAATTTAGAATAAATAGAGCTCTTTAACTCGTCGAATACAAATTGTTTTCAAGTTTTTTTCGACCGGAAATTGAACTTTTAGAGTTTATACAATAAGATTCACATGAAAAATACGGGTTTAACAAAGAAATCACCAATATAAAGGTTTTTTAGTAGAACGAGATTGATAAAAACTATGGTATGATAAAAAGACGATAATTTTTTTGGCGGGATAATTGAAGAATATGAATGATTCGAATTACAGACATACTCTAGTCCGAAACTTACTATGGTTCGTGACTTATTTTTGACACAGAATAGCTGTAGACTAAGGCTTACTCTAGATCCAGACTTATTATACAATTAAATTTGCTTTTGGAATAAGACTTAATTTTAGTTACAAACTTATCTTAATATCAGACTTATATTTTAGAATCAGACTTACTTTAGTCTAGAACTTACATTTAGAATCAGACTTCCATTTCAAGTCAGACTTACTTTCGTCCGAGACTTACATTTCAAGTCAGACTTACTTTCGTCCGAGACTTACATTTCAAGTCAGACTTACTTTCGTCCGAGACTTACATTTCAAGTCAGACTTACTTTCGTCCGAGACTTACATTTCAAGTCAGACTTACTTTCGTCCGAGACTTACATTTCAAGTCAGACTTACTTTCGTCCGAGACTTACATTTCAAGTCAGACTTACTTTCGTCCGAGACTTACATTTCAAGTCAGACTTACTTTCGTCCGAGACTTACATTTCAAGTCAGACTTACATTAATATCAAACTTATATTAACCTACAACTTACTTTTATTCCCAGACATCTTGATCCACACAGTGTCTGAAAGATGCAACAGTGTCTGACAGATGCAACAGTGTCTATGAGATGCAATATTATCTGTCACACATAACAATGTCTGACAGATAAATCTTTCTATGATTCTAACCCTAATTACATTTTTCGTAAAAACCTATATTTAAGATTTGCAATTATCACCCTTTTTTCTCTTCCAATAATGCACAAAACCAAGATTTGACATCAGATTTAAAATCTCCATCAAGTCTGCTTTCCAAATCCGCTGTCAAAACTTGAATATCTCAATTAATTAATGATATTCAGATATTGCGAATAATCTTTAGGTAAAGAAGAAAATTTAGGTTGTAAAATCATATAAAAATGTAGTTAGAGAGCAAAAATTATGTTTGAGTGGATCTCCATGTCGTAGTGGATCTAGATGTTTGAGTGGCTTTAGATGTATGAGTGGTTTTCAATGTCAGTGTGGATCAAGATGTCTGGGAATAAAAGTAAGTTGTAGGTTAATATAAGTTTGATATTAATGTAAGTATGACTTAAAATGTAAGTCTCGGACGAAAGTAAGTCTGACTTGAAATGTAAGTCTCGGACGAAAGTAAGTCTGACTTGAAATGTAAGTCTCGGACGAAAGTAAGTCTGACTTGAAATGTAAGTCTCGGACGAAAGTAAGTCTGACTTGAAATGTAAGTCTCGGACGAAAGTAAGTCTGACTTGAAATGTAAGTCTCGGACGAAAGTAAGTCTGACTTGAAATGTAAGTCTCGGACGAAAGTAAGTCTGACTTGAAATGTAAGTCTCGGACGAAAGTAAGTCTGACTTGAAATGTAAGTCTCGGACGAAAGTAAGTCTGACTTGAAATGTAAGTCTCGGACGAAAGTAAGTCTGACTTGAAATGTAGTTAGTATACAAGTCTCGTGTACGGAGGCACTGCGTTCCTCCGTACGCAATACTTGTGAATTTGACACTTTACAAAACCGTTAACGTATATTTTACAACATGAACGCAAAAACTAACTTAACCTTAAATATTTACAAAACCGCCAACCACTTCACTTCACTAACGTTTTCACAAACGACTTCATTAATGTAAAAATAAACGTTCTCACTTACAAAAGTATTGCAACTCCTCCCATTGCTGTGCTTCACATAACAGCTCATAATCTTCTGACTCACTTTCTTCTTCATATAGGTCAAAATCACTGTCAAAATAAATGTTAGTAAGTTTTGACAAAGCTAATGAAACACGTTTACCGTTTGTATCGTATGCTTGTATAAACTTTCCATTCTTCATTCCTTCATAAACGCTCAAACTAACTTTACCCTTTCTCCCTCGTATCTGATAGAATGTATTTTCACGAGGAACGAAGAACAAATTCTTGAACTCATGACCGTTGTAGTTTGTTATCTCAATAGTTTTCGTCATTTATATAAAAATAAAATAAAAAATTATATAAAAAATAAAATAAAAAATAAATGATATCACCACCCGCACACGTATGAAAACATAGCACAAAAATAATGTTTATGTTAGAATGTTAGATCTAACACGTTTTCTAACCTCTTTTCTAACCTGTTGAATTCATTACTTTATAACTCTCTTCCTTGGTTTCTTTTTAGTTGCTTTCTTCACGTCTGTCTCCAACTTGACTGTCTTTCTTCTTCGTCCGTAATGATACCAGTTACTTCCACCAGTCAATGGGTCAAATGGTCTTTCGTAAGGGTTTCCATACATTCCATAGGGACCATACGGAAGAACTACTGGTGGAGGAAGAGTTCCATCGACTCTATTTAAATGCATTGTTTCACCTTTCATCTGGTCATTAAAGTCTTTTGCGTGTTTTGCAAACTCGTCGTCCTTTCCTAAAGCATTTTCTGACTCAGTCGCAACCAAATTGGATGCTTTATTTATGAGCCCTATTTTATTTAATCTTAACTTCTTTGCAACCCAGCCTCCAATCTTCCCTTTATTTGCATCTAATGTCTTTGAAACCCTTCCTCCACTCATTTTATTTACTGCGTCATAAGCTCCAAGTGCTTTTGCTCCAAATGCTAATGCTTTTGTTCCCATTGCGCCTAAAGCTGCCCAAGCTACCATTTACACCATATTAAAATCATCTCTCTTCAATATTATCTCATAAAAGTTCTCGTTACTGGAGAAAGTCAATGAAACGTAAGCGTTCTCACGGGCTTCGCCCTCACCGCTTTGCGGTCTATCTAACTTCTTTCTTATATCATCTATACGCTTCAAAATGTCTGAACAATTGCTAACATCTTCTACAACAGTTATTTCATCATGAATGACCTTCAAGAACAAGCTCATTTAATATGCAATTAAAATCATCTCAATAATGAGTCCATCCTTTCCATCTTTGGGTAGCACAACATCTTTCATTGAAGAAGGTTCGACAAGTCTTATGTTAAACTTACTGACAAAGTTTGTTATACTATAATGCTTCGGCGGCGAATACATATAGTTTGAAAGACATAATATAGATTCTTCAGCAAATTCACTTATACTGGATTTTATAACAATGTTCTCACGAGACCAAACGCCACCAATTGACAATCTTGTAAGCAATCCTGCTGAACCTTCAACTGTAAACGTCGATGGTAACATTCCACGAAGGTCATCTATTGACATCTTTGAGTCACTGAATTTAAATATTTTCTTAAAGCAATCGTCATTATCTAACCATGCAATAGCTTTGAAGTTTTCATTCGAATATACATCTGCTTCATTAAATGTAAAACCTGACTTCTTTGCAGAGATGACTTTAAAATCTATTGAGTTTGTTTCAAAATTATATGCTATGGTAACTTCTGAAGGTAATGGATGTCCTTCCGCAGTCAGTTGTTCTTTCAATACCGTTTGAAGCTTTGTGTTAAAAACTTTCATGTCATCCCCTGTGTCTAGGTTCACATACACAGCAACAGGAAAACTATCTTGCTTCTTTGTTTCATCATTATACCTCAAAACATTAAAGTTCTTCAATAATATTGTTCTTCCTGCTGGAATACTTCGAACCTGTCTGATTTCAATAGCTTTCTCACCTCTACATACTCTACCCAGTGTCTTGGATATTCATAAGTATACTGACTTTCTTGAATTTTGGTAGGTTTCATCATAACGTGTTCATAGTATATCTTTATACTCTTGTCAGTTAGACTCGGTGCTATGTTCTGAATATTTCTGACTTGCATTTTTAATGAAGATAAAATGAAGCATTTAATACATGACGTAGATGAAGACATGAATGAAAGCAGTGAAAAGCTCAACAGTTCTCTCATTCTTCCTTTCAGTAAGGACTATGAGTTCTGTTCAAATGGTGTGTATTTCTATTGTGGAAAGATGGGTTCAGGTAAGACATTCAACCTCATTCGTCATATACTCATAACAGAGCGTTTAGGAAACGACTCTTACTATGACCAAATCATTATATCAGCAACTTCAGACTCTATGGATTCAACAGCGAAAACATTTATGTCAAAAGTTCAAGCCTCTGTCGTTAAAGTTCCAGACAGTGAACTCATTGAATTTCTTCAACGTTACATTCGACGTAAGAGGAAATATTATGCTATTGTAGAGTTCATACAGTCAGGAATGCAAAAGACTTCAGAAGAGATGGAAAGAATTATTGACAAACACCACTTACGTCAATACTCAGGAGTTTACGATATGAAACGACTGACAAACTACATTCTGTCAAAACTTTCAAAATACCCCTTCAAAAAGTATCCTTCAAACACTCTGCTCGTTTGTGACGACTTCGCCGGAAAAGGTTTAGTGTCAAAAGCAGACTCACCATTAGCTAACATCATAACTAAAGTCAGACATTACCACTTAACTGTAGCAATACTTATGCAAACATGGCGTTTCCTTGCTTTAAACATAAAACGTCTCATAACTGACTTCGTTATCTTTCAAGGTTTCTCACGCTATGATATTGAACTCATTTGGAAACAGTCAGGTATAACATTACCTTTTGAAGAAATTTGGGAAGCATATAAGTCTCTCATCTCTCCTCGTTCATACCTTGAGATTCATATCATGACTAATACCATTAAAGTCAAAAATATTCCATGGGAACGACCAACATTGTTTTAAAGTTTAACCTTCAATTGACTGATGGTAAACAAATTCCATGCATCTCTGTCGCCATTTCTGTTAATATTTTTGCTGTCATTCATATCATCCACTTCCCCATCCGTTAGCTTTTGAGGATATGTGTTAGAATAGCTGTTCTTAAATGAAGGCTTTTCACCTTTGAGAGCATAAACTCTATAACTTTCTGCATACTTTATGTTTGAACCTCCTGAGCCATCATTGACATAAATTTTTATAGGCTTCCACCCTTTGTTCATATTCCTGCTTCTTCCCTTAGCTCTTTTGTTCAGTAGTTCTACATCTTTATACACAGCTCCTGTCTCAGTGAATTCAACAATATTTTCATTCGTTAGCTTTACATTCAAACCCTTGTCGAGTATATTGTTCATTTCATACATATAAAAGGTTTTTATTCTATATGAAATGAGAAGCAAATCCATCTTAGCTGGTGCCGTTAATGTTCCAATTGAACCAACATCAAATGTTGACTCACGAACGACAAACAATATTGTCATAAAGAACTATAGTTCAGAGTGTTTGAAAGAAAAAGAACCAGAACTTAAGTCGGGAGGGCTCAAAGAGCCCATCATGGCGCATGGCGCCGTGAATTTAAACTCAGCTTCAAACGCTAACGCTACATCAGATGTTAAGTTAGAGTATCCACCACTGGACCAAATTCTTTCAAGAGAAGCCAACGACAACCCTTACACAAATGTTCAAACAAATCCTTCAGATAACGTAGACCATTACCTTCTTCAGTTATACCAAACAATTTTACTCAAAGACGATAAGAAGCTTTTGACAAATCTTATAAGTAAGAACCAAATAATTCTAACAAAGGAGGACCTTGAAAATGTTATCTCACGAATAACAGGGAAACAATGTGTCATTGACTATCTCGACCCTGAAATCGAATGCTGTGGTCAAACTCCACTATTCATGAAAATAGGTAACATCCGCATCATTGAAACACCAGGAACTACAGGAGTTGAGTTTAAGTATAAATATTCGAATGAATATACAAAACTTTCAACAGAATATAAACTTTGCTTGAAATATGTTTTAGTAAATTAAAGCAATTTGTAATATCTATCCAAAACTTCTTCAACAGTATCGAACTCATCTTCATAATGCAAACCTAATCTTATTGACTTGGTGCAGTTTTCACTAACACAATATAGCGCTTTGCGCTCGGCGCCTTTGACGCCTTTTTCTGTTCTCTTGACTGACATAACTAACTCATTTGTTTCATCAAACAGCAACAACCAAAGTTCATGACCTAATACATAACATTCATACTTTATATTTTTAGCTCTGAGTTCTCTTGTAAGCTGTTGCATTTAATATTTTCTAAAAAGTCAACTTCAACAGTCATTCGCACTGGTGCCTTCAGTTCTACAGGCTCGCCCTGAAAGTCAACTAGTCTGAATTGCATGTCTTTCAAATTATGAGGACTAATGCGAACCCATTTACCTAAATGAGTTGCTATGACAGGAACGTTTGGAATGAACATTGAATTGACTGCATAACAGAAGGATTTATATTCTACTGAACCTTTACTATTAACTCCTGAAATGCCTGTGACATTAGCTATTTTTGACTCAATGTACAAACAGTTGCCATAACATACGTATGGAACAGATTTCATCTCAATCGTTTTGTCAACACTTTTCAAAGGAAATGTCATATGGTATGCTCCCAAAAGAAGTTGAACTCTATGACTCATTCGTGTTATCTTGAACTCTTTCTTGCTACTGAACTTCAATGTTCCCTCAGAAGAGAGTTTGACATCTATGTTGCCAATAGTTTCTTCATTTATGAGAGTACCTATGACTCCAGCAATTTTATCTATTCTGTACTCGGCTCTGTTAGGAAATGTTATAAAACTTCTTTTGTCATCTATTTCAATCTCTATGAAATCTGTTTCATCTGTTATGACAAAAGTTGCGATAGTATTGAAGTCAACAACTCTGAAAGCAAGCGCCTCATTCTGAAGACCTAAGTTTGTTTGAAGCTTTACTGTCCCGTATTCGTTTGGGTCTGTACTTTGCAAATAGAACAACATTTTATTCTCATTAAAATATGACTATTGCTGCATATGCGTATGAAACAAATGAAGCAAGAAGAGCACATGAACTAGTAAACGAAAACTCAACTTTAACCATTGAAGGCAATGATTTAGTCATTGACGATGGAAAAACTAAAAAAGTCATTGATTTCGATACTTTTAACACTTATGACCCATTCATTACAATAAGTAAAGTTCCTATCATAAATGATGGAACGGTGCAATATATAAATTCTACAGTAGATGCCTCATTAGTGAAAGTATTAAATGTTCTCATTGAATTGTTAAAGAGCTTTCGATTTGACGACAACATTAAATGCCTAAAGAATTTAGTCATGAATGAGAAACAAATTCTCGGCGTTGCTGGTAGCAGTAATGATGTACACCTTATGACATTAGAATATTATAACGAACATAAAGATGAACTGAAAGGAGAGAAGGGTGACACCGGACCTCAAGGACCACAAGGAATACAAGGAATACAAGGAATTACAAGGACCTCAAGGCGAAAACGGTTTGGATGGAAAGGATGGAAAGGATGGAAAAACTGCTAAATCATGGATATGGGACCTTATAAATACTGGTTTAACAGCTGCTTCATATGGAGTTCTTCAATACCAAATCGGAAAGATATGGGCAGTACTTGGTGAAGAAGTTTTAGATGACGTTAAAAATGCTTTGAACTTCATTTCAAATGGTTCGGATACTATTAAAACTTTATCTGGTTGGATGCAAGAAACAAGGAGTCAAATAGATACTGTAAGACGTATAGCAAACAATGCACGTACGGGATTGGATACTTTACGACAAGCACAAAATACACTAAAGGAAGCAAATGATATTCTTGGCTCAGTATCAGACATGCATGAAGATTGGCTTAAAGGTATTGACAAATCTTTAAAAAATCACAGTCAGTCTATTGCTGACTACAAGAAAAGTATAGATTTTTTACATAGTGCTATGGACGTACATGATGGAAGCATAAGGAACTTACTTAATGCTAACAATAACTTACCAGGAACTATTAAAGCATTTATAAAGTCCTTTGTAAAACCTGGTGCTCTAACATTTAGGTCTTTGAGAGCAAGAGCATTGAAGTCAAGAGATGCAGAAACTCCAACAGAACCTACAGAAGGAACTGAAACAACAGAAACTCCAAGAACCACCAAAACCAACAGCTAATGAAATATTGTTCGAATATTTTCCAAGGTACTCTGTTCTCATTGCATACATTCAAGAAATACTTAAGAAAGCAGACTTGACTTTAGGAGATGATGAAAGTTCTGTATATCTTTCGTTCCAGTTTCAAATAGCAGAACTTTTGAGACAGATATGCTTAATGTATGACAACATCTCTGATTTCACAAGATATGATGACGACCATGACCCCGAACACGGTGAAGAAGAAGTTTTACAAACATCCATTAAGACAGGAAAGGTTTTAACACAAAGTCTCATTATTGACACCAAAGATGGCGAAGTGGACGTTCTTCAAGAGCTGAAGAAAAATACTTCTTCGGGAGGTGGTGGTAGGCATGAACTTGAAATAAATGAGATAGAAGAGAAATTAGCCGAAAAAGCAGATAAAGAACATAAACACAATATCTCCGATATAAATGAACTTCAAGCTACATTAAATAGTAAAGCGGACAAGAACCACGTTCATTATATAACTTCAGACGAACAGATTATAACGGACTACCATGGATATTTAACACGAAGTGATGAAGCGAAGACAAAAAATGTTAATGAAAGAAGATATAAATACATTCGTGCTAAAGGTTATGACATAAGCTGTACTGTACAGTATGATGTAGCTAAAGCACCAGAAGCATTTGGTTATACCGGTGAAATTTATGCCTCTACTTTCAATGTTAACGGTGTATTAGTTGAACCAAGATTTACTTTGAGAGTTAAGTCAAAAATAACGTTTGAAGATGCTATTAAAAGTAAAGCTGACAAAGATGAACTTGAAGCAATGAACAAAGTTTTGAAATCTCATAAACACAATATCTCCGATATAAATGAACTTCAAGCTACATTAAATAGTAAAGCCGACAAGAACCATACACATAAATCCTTCACTACTGTTAGAGCAGACGACATAATATTGAACTTTGACCTTGGTTCAAGTGCACCTTTAGAGAATCCGAGTACAAGCGTAAAAGATACACTAAACTCCTTAAATGGTAAATGTATGAATATCGAAGATCATGCCAGAAACTTTGAAGCATATGAACTACCCGCAATGTTAGATAAGAAAGCTGACAAGAACCATACACATAAATCCTTCACTACTGTTGCTATAGAAAGTATTGAAGGAACGGTTGAAGAAACTGGTGGGGAGGGCGGAGCCCCGCCGCACGCGGCTGCAATATATTGTAAACCTCCTAACTTTCCACAAGGTTTAACATCGGATGACGACATAACGACGATGAGAAACATTAGATGTAAAGATGTTTATGTCATGAAGGATGAACATAATATTAAATTCACTGCTCAAGATTTATATGACAAGAAAGCAGACAAAACAGAGCTTCAAACATTAAAGACAGAAATACTTCAAACATTATATCCTATAGGCTCTATTTATACGTCAATGAACTCAACAAATCCAGAAACAGTTTTAGGTTTTGGTACATGGCAGCAGATTGTAGACAAATTCTTATACTGTGCTAACTCTTCAAAGCAAACAGGAGGTTCGAAGAAAATTACTGAAGCAAACCTTCCACCGCACACTCATACAGGAACTACAAACACAACAGGTAGTCATTCACATTCAATAACAAAAAGAGGTTATACAAATCTTGCAGCAGGTTCGGATAGACAGGGAATGCATAGATATGATATTTCAAGTGACCCAGTAGATTCAAGCGCAGGTATTTTCTGTGGAACCGCAGGAAATCATGCCCATACTTTCACAACAAATCCAACAGGCTCGGGTGCAGATTACATGCCACCATTTGTGACTGTATTTGCATGGTACCGCGTTCAATGAACGCGCTTGAGCCTAGAATAAAATCTTTAACTTTACATAAATGAGCTTGAAAGAAGTATTAGAACAACATCCATGGAGGTCATTTAAGAAGTTCAATGAAGCTGCAAAGAGTTGGGGATTTACTAACAGAGCTGAAGTGAAAAGGTTCTTTGACAAAAATGTTGTACATCAAACAAAAATAAACCCTTACGACTACTTTTTACCAATTTACTCCAACACTCCTGACGCATACCAATTTGACACTCTCATTCAAAGCAGAAAAGGAGGACATAAACCATTCCTCATCTTCATTAATGTTAACACTCGCAAAGCATATGCATATCCAATGAAAAATAAAGGAACTCGTGAAGTGTTAAGAGTTTTACAAAAGTTTGTAGCAGAACATAGCCCAAGTACTTTAACATCAGACCAAGACAGTGCATATCTCAGCAATGAAATCACAGATTTTCTCATTAAGCATAACATAACTCACTACACTACTGAAGACCATAACCATAACATACTCGGCATCATAAACCGCTTCATAAGAACGCTCAGAGATTTAAATCAAGAGCGAGACTTTACCGAAGAAACAATGAAACATTTTCTCGAAGTATATAATTCCTCAACACATTCTACAACAGGACATACACCAAATTCAATGACACAACAACAAGAAGAAAAGTATATACAAAAGAAACGAAGCCAAACACAAAATATCAGAAATTCAACACAATTTACCCTCATTCCTGGTACAAAAGTTCGTGTAGTTCTTGACGACAAACCGTTGACAAAGAAACGTTTAAGGTTAAGTAGAAACTATTATATCGTAGACTCTACGCAAGGTAATGGATATCTTATAAAAGCTGCCGACGACTCTATTGCGTTTTACCCTCGACATAAATTAGTCGAAAGTAGTAATGGCAAACTTGCTGAAACCATTGACGAAGCAAAGCGAGGAGTGGTTATTGAAATACTTGGCTACAACATAAACGATGACACTTATAAAGTAAGATATGAAGGAGGTGTTGAAGATGTTATACCATCTAAGAACTTGAGAGAGTCAAAGCCAACACATCTGGGACCATTAGAGCGGGAGTACTGGAAAGATAAAAACATGCCAGAAAGAATAAGAAAATTCTTCTAAACTTTTTCGTTGGATGTAAATCAGACATGAATGAGAACAGTCATGTATTATTAATGGTACCATTTATTTACACCAAAAAATAATGTTTATGTTAGAATGTTAGATCTAACACGTTTTCTAACCACTTTTCTAACATGGTCTAAAACTCTCGAAAATCATGAATTTTTGACATTTCCTTATGAAAGAAAATAACGCTAATTTTTTCTAAGAAAAATTTTTATCTTGTATGTAAAGATATGATTTCAACAATCGGCACAACAACAATTCAAGCCGCGAACGGCAGGACTCTGTCCACTACAGCACCAAACTCGTTAGTCATGAATCCAACATCTATGTTAGTAGAGATGAAAAGCTTCATTCCTTCTTCATATACTTTCGAAACAAAAATCCAGAAGATAAAGCAAGAACTTTTAACAAGTAATTTAGACTGTAGTGCGAAAGATGAAACAAATGAAGAATATCTTTATGAAATGCAGGACATTATTGACCATTTACCCAAATTGCCTGAAATCCAACAACAAAAACTAACTATTCCTGAATTCGACGAAATTGAAGTCAAAACAACTGACTCAGTAGAAATAAAGAAGTTCATACGTAAAGTAAATTATGAATTCCTTGGTTTTCATTGCAACCATAAAGTTATGGACAAAGATTGCGACATGGTTTATAAGAATGTTTCTGACATATATAAATCTGAAGAATTTAAGACCTACGATAACTTTGTTTCATTAGTTGCTGAATGTGTTTGGGAAATAAGAGATAAAGATAGAAGAGGTAAAGTATGGAACGAACAACTAAGACCCGCTATGTTTGAGATGAAGAGAACAATTGACGCCTTAGTTGTTTTAGCAGGTCAAATTTCAATGTATAACGCAAAAATGAACCCGCAATGTTCTAAATGTAAAGCAGCAATGAGGAGATATAACTACTCCGTCAAAGAGATAGAAAGAATGCGAAACGACTATGCAGATTTAAAGAAAGAAGTAGAAAACCCAGCAGAAAATAAAATGGATATGTTGACATTTCTGAACAAAAATTATCCAACTGCTGACGATTTCCTTCTATCTGACGTCAAGAAGAAATATAAAGAAACCTTCGGCATTGTTAAAACATTCGATGTACTAAAAGAAGAAATAGAAGCTACAAAACTGTTTAAAGTCATGAACCATCGCAACATATACCATGTAAAACGCTTGTAAATAGTTATGTTAGAAAAGAGGTTAGAAAACGTGTTAGATCTAACATGTTAACATAAACATTATTTTTGCTGAATTCAGCACAAAATTCTGAGTAAAATGACATATGGCACGTGTCAAACCGTTGAGTTTTCACAAATTTTAAAAATTGCTGCGGAAAGTTCGTCAAAAAGTGAAGGTTCCCGACGGTTTCAAACCGCCATACTTTACATGAAGATAGTTTACAATGTCAACTAAATATCATGTACGATAGAAACGGTTATGTAAAGTTTACATTTTGTAAAGTTTTGTCCTGATTCAAGACAAGTCTTGTATTTTTTCAGAACAAGTCTTGTATTTTTTCAGAACAAGTCTTGTATTTTTTCAAGACAAATCTTGTCCTGATTCAGAACAAGTCTTGCACTTTTTCAGGAAATCCTATCGTCCAACTTTACAAATGTCACTTTTTCAGCATGATTGCATTTTGGTCGGGGAACAACTTTCTCTCAATTTGTCACTTTTTTCTATCGTCGTGTTTTGTCACTTTTCACTCAGGGTGTGTGTCAGAAAATATCCAAAATCTTTATAGCCTCGTATCTCCTTCAATTCTTGACGGTTTGACATGTATGACACACCATTCAATTCAGAATTATGTGCTGAATCTTATGACCTTCATTTGTTCGTGACTTCTTTTCACATATGTAACCCTGAATTTTTAACATTTCTTTAACACAGAAAAATAAAGTTAGTTTTATTTTTATTTATTTTTTTATTTTGTATGTAAGAACAGAAATGACAACATTAGAGAACACAACAACTGCTATCGTTCATGAAGCCATAAATGAAGAATACGAATACATACAGTATAACAAACAACTTCGCCTCATTCGTTCGGTCAAAGATGACATGTACCAAATGCAAAGTATAATGAATGCTCTTAGTTCTACAAAGCAAGCATATCATTGGTTTGAAAACCAACAGACAAAAGAACTTTTAGAAGAATTTCCTCATATGATTGCTTCCCTCGAAAAACCGAGGGAAGAGATTCCGTACGAAAATCGCAAGAATTTGGCTCCTGGTTTGAAAGGTTATTATGTTCATAGACTTTTAGTAAATGCTGTAGCAATGTGGGCTTCACCTCGTTATGCTTGTTATATTTTCATGATGTTAGATGAACTATATAAAGCAGAACGTGGAGAGATGGAAAAGAAACTTCAAGCAAAAGATGAAGTCATTGAATCCAAAGACAAAAAGCATACAGAAAAGAATACCACGTTCAGTACCAAAAGGAAAGGAAAAGAGTTATAAGTATATGATTTACGCTGAAGAGTTGGAGAAAGAAGAAGACAGAGATATGGTTATGTTGCATTTAGTCAGAAGAAACAACAAAAGCTTTTATGACCTTGCTAAGATTTACAAATCTGACAGAAACTGGTTCTATCGTGAAAACTTACCGATTTCAATGACACCGAATGAGCAAATAAAGGAAATTGTCAAAAATACTCTTCCTCAAACACACTATGACATCAAAGGTTGCACAATACTTACATTCAAAGAAGACTTAACATTACTGAAGGAAAAGATAACAGAATATTTCGACAACTTCAAAGAGGAAGAATAAAAAATCTAAGCTATTTTATTTTTTATAAAATTTATCTCATATGAAAGAACATGAATTTAGAATATTCGGAACTCATGACAGAAGAAGAGAACGAACAACATGTAAAAGATTATGCAAAATTTCTGAAGACATACAAAGCATTTAAACAATATCTAAATGCTTCTAAAGATTATGCAAAATTTCTGAAGGTATATAAAGCTTATGAAAAAGCGTATGAAAAGTTTATACATTGGGGAATTGTTGTAAAATATCGATATGAAGACTAACCAAAAATATATTTTTGCTTAAATAGCTTCAGGGTCAATTTCTTCAACCATTTCACTTCCTTCGTCAATGTCAATTGAAGCTTCTTCAACCTTTGGTAAGAATTTCTGTATAACATCTTTGTTCGTTATTGTTTTCAGAGATGAAGGATAATATTTCACATTTGTTTCACCTTTCTTATATTCTTTCTGTTCGGAAAGATTCATAGCAATACTGAAGAAGTCAATGTTGGAGTTCTTTATAACAGTATAATGAGTATCTTTGACATTCACGAAGAAACTCTTTTGTTTCAAAACTACTGCTAACTCTTGTGAAGTATAACGTTTGCGGTCAATGACAATAGCTAATGGTCTGACATACTGACCAAACTTAGATTCTTTCACAAACTTCTTGTTAAAGATAACATTAACGTTTGCAGCACCATTGAACTCATTCTTGATGGCAGTAGCGAGAGCATTGTATGAAAAGAACTTGCAATCTTGCATGTGTTTCATTAAAATAAAAATATTAAATTATTTTGAAAAATAACTTAAAAAAATCTAATCTAATTTTTTCAAAAAAAAATATTTTTATCCGATAGAAAAGATGACAGAAAAATTAACTTTTTACATAGCGCCAGACCCTTCTTGCCCACATCCTTTTAAGTCACAATATATAGACATAGAACTAAATAGAGAAAGCGAAATTCCACAATATATATACATAGAACTAAATAGTGAAGGCGAAATTCTACAAACAGAAGAAAGCGAAATTCCACAAACATATAGAGACCTAGATAACGAAAATGGATATGCGCTATTCTGGTTAGATTGTCCTTATAAAATGTATGAAAAAAAGGCTTTATATGAAGAATATAGAAAATATTGTCATGAAAACGATATAAGACTAGCTCTAGAGAAAAATTCTATGCTGGTATAAAACATCTTTTCGAAGTTTTCGGAATGGCAAATATATAAAGAATAATTTTTCTAAGTTTATTTTTTAAAAATATTTTTTTATTTCCTACTAAAGATGTATCGGAAGTTGTCTAAGTTAGAACACTCGGAAATAAAACAACTTCTTACAGAAGCTAATATAGATGTTGCAAAGCATTACGCAACAAACAAAAGGCGCACTCGCTGACATCCTCAATGACTACAATGGTGAAATAACTTATGATAGAATTCATGAGTTCATAAAGCCGCAACGCGCGAGACGAAGTCCATGCAAGAACTTTTCCTTTAAATGACGTTGCTATTGACTTATATCATAGACGTTCAAATCATGAAGTAAGGCGTGAGATGTTTGACATAACAAATGCGAACGTTGGTGAAACAAGAAGAAGAGACGACACACTGAAACAACAGAAGAAGAGAGATGTTTAAAAGTGCTATAGAACAAGTTCGCAAAGCTAACGATGTCATTCGTTCCATTGACGACAAACCAAAAGAAGGTGAGAGATGGTTAAAGAAAGATGAAGAGAATAGGAAGAGAATGAAGTCAGTGAAGTCAGGCATAGACTCATTGACTTTAACATCGAAGCTTTAGATGAACCAAACAGAGACTATTTACACAAACATTTCGGTAAGGTTTTCATGAGACTCTTAGAGAAAATTAAAATAAACTCACAACAGAGATGGATGGTATGTTATAAACTTGGTGGAAAGTATGAATGTTCTACGTTAAACCTCAATAATATTGGAACATTACTACATCAGCTCTTGAAGGAGAACTTTATATCAGAGATAGAAGCAAATGCTGCAGGTATTGTTGAAATGCACTATGACTTCTTCTTGACAAACATAAAGAATCTTACCGAAATAAAGATGTATGATTTAACAGAATATGAAGGCTTAACGATGTCAGATGTAAAGAAAGGCAAACCAAAAAAGAGACCATATAGAGATGAAAGCACACTGACAAATGACCAGAAAGCCATTTTGGAAGCTCTTAAGCAAACAGGAACCCAGCACTTATAGAAAGCTTTTGGAAAGATAATGGTGAAAAGAAGTTTTATAAGAAGAGAAGCGGTCAGTTCTGGAAGTATCTTTGCACATTACCTATAAATCTTGAACGCTACCAAATCTTCAATGAACTGAACAAAAGAACTGCAACACTTATGACAGAAGATAACTGTTCGTTTATGCTTGCATTCAGGCTGGAGTAAATGAAGAAACTATTGACCACATGAGAGAAGTCATTCGTGTTAGAGACTTTCCTCAAAGTAAAGTACAAGAAATTTCTGACGCAACAGGTATAGCATTTAATGTTACCATTGGTTATTTCAATGACTCAAGACATAATGAAATAAAGAGATATATACCAAAAGAATGCGAAACTGTTAGAACTATTGACTTACTTCTTGTTGAAGACCACTACATGCTAAATGAAAGACTTCCAATGACAACATACTTCATTCGAAACTATAAAGAAATTCTCAAAGCTTGTGGTGGAATGAACATTGAGAAACAGATGAAGATTTATACAAAGAGAGAAGATAAATATGTAGTTCGTTATGATAGAACAACACCGTTATGGGATGTTATGAAAACATTGTGGGAGTGCAAATATTTCGAACCTATTTCTTATGGAGAACTTTTCACATATACTACTGACTTATATAAACAGAACCTTGCACCATTTAAAGATTTGACATATGCTCCAAAGTATTGTGTACAACTGAAGAAGAAAGCAGAGTCAAAAGAAGTAAATAAAGCTAAATGTAAATTCATTCCTGAGCACGTTTTCTTTGCTGACTTTGAGTGTAGTACGGATGGCTTTCATAAAGCTTTTAACATCTGTTATGACAGTGAAGATGGTTCAGTGAGTGAAAGCATTTGGGGTCAAAACTGTGCAACAGAATTTTTGGAAAGACTCCTGACAAGAGTTTAATATATTTTCACAACCTCAGTTATGACATAAACTTCATCTTAAGACACATGACAGAAGTGAAAGGAACTCCCATCATTAAAGGTTCACGAACAATGCAAATAACTGGTTTATATAAAGGACGGGCAATTATTATAAAAGACTCTTACAGTGTTATAAATAAGAAGCTTAAACTATTTCCTGCTATGTTTAACTTACAAACAGGACCGAAAGAAGTATTTCCATATAACTACTACAGCAGTGTTTTGTTAGCAAATGACAACAGAACTGGTGTCATTTCTGAAGCATGTAAGTTTATCCGGGATGCAGATACATTTATGAAAAACATAGATTCCATCAAAGGTTGCAGAATAGATGAGAACCACTTCGACTTAGAAAAATATAGCACGTTTTACTGCAAACAAGATGTAAGAATTTTAAGAGAAGGTTTTGTAAAGTTCCGCAATGACTTATTGAAAGAGTTTGATTTAAACGTTTATGACTACGTTAGTATTTGTTCAATTGCTAACAAATTGTTTGAGAACAGAGTATACTTCCCGAATGGAAATCTTTATGACCTCTCAAATAAACCAAGAGAATTTATTTCGAGATGCATTCAAGGTGGAAGATGTATGTTGTCAGATAACATGAAACAAAAGAGCAAAAAGAAACTCATTGCTGACTTCGACACTGTTTCATTATATCCTTCAGCTATAGCAAGACTTTATACTTTAGAAGGTATTCCAAAAGTATTGAAGGAAGAAATGTTAAACACAGAGTATCTCATGAGACATTTATTCGATGATGACCAAAAGGAACCCATTGGTGAAAAGTTTATGTCTGGCTTCTTTGTTCTCATTAAGATAACAGAGATTGGTATACCCAGACACTTTCATTTAATAGTTTGCGACCCTGAACTAAATCCAGAACTTAACGTTCCAAGAAGTTCAAACACTTGCTGTCTCATGTATGTTGACCATATAACATTACAAGACCTCATAAAATATCAAGGTGTCAAATGTGAAGTGTTGCAAGGATACTATTACGATGGAAACAGAGATATGAGAATAAGAGATGAAGTAAAGAAGTTGTTTGAGTTAAGGTTAAAGTATAAGAAAGAAGAAACCTTACAAGAAATTATAAAACTCATTCTGAACAGCATTTATGGCAAAACTATTCTATCTCCTATTGAGTCAAAAATAACCATAGTAGATGACAAAGATGCTATAAGATATGCTATAAGAAATTACAACCATATAGTGAAGTTCGAAGGTTTGGATGGTTCAGATAAAACTATTTTCAAGCTAACGAAAAGCATTTGCAGACACTTTAACTTCTGTCCACTTGGTGTTAATATTCTGTCTATGTCAAAACGTATTATGAATGAAGTATTCTGTACTGCAGAGGACATGGGTCTTCAAATATTTTACCAGGATACCGACAGTATGCACTTATATAATGAAGACATCCCAAAGCTTGCAGCAGAGTTTAAGAAGAGATACGGTAGAGAACTTATAGGAAAGAACCTTGGTCAATTTCATAGCGACTTTGCAGAAATAACACCTGGAAAACAAAGTTTAGCTTATAAAAGTATTTTCTGTGGAAAGAAGACCTACATAGACTTACTCACGAATGATTTAAATGAAGTTGCATTTCACTGCAGAATGAAAGGCGTGAAGCAAGATGTTATTGCTTTAACCGCTAATGAAATGTTTCCTGAAGCTATACAATGCTATTACAATGAAGATAAGAACATTCACATACCTGTTGGAACATATGACAAAGACTCTGAGTTCAGTTTAATGAAACTTTACAAAGCACTTTATGATGGTCAAGAGATTGCATTCGACTTGTGTAAGTCTTCTAGTCCTTGCTTTGCTGAAAAGTTTAACTTCTCAATAACGACTAAAACAAGCTTTATTCGTAAGTTGAAGTTCTGAGGTCATGAATGAGGTCATATATTTTTGTCAGCAATGAGGTCATTCGTGATAAAAATAAAACTAGCGTAGATTTTACAATACTGCGATGGTAGAGTTTAAGAGTTGTGCTTCAATGTAGAGACAGTCCTTATGGTCTGGAGGTAAGAACACTGGGCAGTTATGGTCATGAGTGGAGAACATGTCTATCCAAAACTCACGATTGAAGCCAGTTAATTTATAGTATTTAGGGTTAGGAAGTGGTGAAGTTCTTGTATGACCAATGAACTCATTTTCAACTCCCTTACTTAAGTTTGAATATAATATAGCTTGCTTTCTATCCCAAATGCCAGGTGTTACAATCTTTGAAAATTCATTTTTCCTCGGAAGCATTGCATCATAATTGAAAAATTCTTGAAATCATCACTTGGTTCAGAGATTTGAAATCTTATACGTAATGGATTTTCTTTCTCTTTAGCGACTTCATTGAATGGTGAGAATATAACAAACTGACAGTCATGAGTTCCATCTTCATTTTCATTAAATTCATAATGAAAGTCTATAAGTTGTGGCTGACTACCTTCTTCTTTCAGTTGTGCAAGAAACTCACGTAAAGGCTGTAAAGTTTGTACTTCAATATTGAACTTTTTCTCGAACATCTCATTAAATGAAATCATACATTGCAACAATGTTGTATCGTCTTTAAAGTATTTGTATATGTGAATGTTTTGGGCGCTTAAAGACTGTTCGTCATTTTCTATCTCGACTTGAAGTATAAAGTCAACCTTTCTGAAAGCACTGTTATATACATAGATGTTATGCCAATGTACTTCTCTCATTTATGTTCACAATCCAGTCTGTTGGAAACTTAAACGTTACTCTTTCCCCTTTATTTTGACGTCAGGGTTTTCACTACTGAACGCAACAGATAAAGGTATTTGTCTATACATTTAATTCGGATAAAAATAAACCATTTACTCTTTCTTCACTTCAGCTTCTTTAGCTTTTTGTTCTTTCCTTTTGCTTTTGCTTCTTCTCTAGCTTTCTTCGCCAGCAAACGTGGGTTCTTTTGTCTTCCAGCAGCTAATGCAGCTAGTTGTTTTTCACTAAGTTTTCTCTTGGTCTCTCTGGCTTTTGTTCTTGTTTTTGTTCCTTCAGTTCGGATAAAATGCTCGCGAATTTCTTTCTTCAATGCTTCAACATCTATGACCCCTTGGGTCTTGTCCGTAGGGCTTGTCTGAGTCATTTGACTGCAGATAAAAAACAAAATTAAAACTTTAACCGATGTAAAATGAGCTTGTCAAAATCAGAGCGAGAGTCTATTATATTAAATGACGCAAGAGGAATACAACATCCTTTCTATTACGTAAGTCAGAGTAAAGATGGTAAAAATATATGTAAGAAAAAGAAAGGTTCCATTAGCGAATGCAGAAAGCGACAACATTAAGGTGCATGGCAAGGGCGAAGCCCACGAAGCCCATATAAAAACCTTCTGTACAAACTGAGCCACCAAAAGAACAAGAAGAAAAGAAGCCAGATGTACTTTCAATAACGAACCAAGAGCTTATTGCAAAGTTCGTGAATTTCATTGAAAACAAACCGAGTCAAAGAATCCTGACCCGCCATGAAAGAAGTTGAGACAAAAGAGAATGTACAGTTCATTGAAAATGTCAAGAAACAACTTCCACCACGAATGCCAAGAAAAGAGTGAGAATAATGAAGTAATAGATATTTTTATCTGAAGTAAATACATGCAGAACGAACAGTTAACGAATTTACTCCAGCAGAGCATATTCATCAGATTCGCTCATATTTCGATATCATAGACAATGCAGTTCAAATTGGTGACACTAATAGAAAATATTCTGACGCAAAGATTCCATCACAACCTGGAACTGCTAAAGATAACACATGGGTAACATTCAATCTCTCACCTCCTGGTGAAAATATGTTGGACCTTTACAATACATTCATTACGTATAAAATGGAAGGTCAATTTATTGCAGATAAGAAATTGGTTCAGGTTCCAATAAAACAAACCCACCAGGATTTTGGATTGGTTTCGATGACGCTTTCTATGCAGTTGCTGGATATCAAATCCTTGCAAATGGTCGTATCGTATATTCTCAAGACAACGCAAGAGAAGAAGCATATATAACTTCAAACTCACAAACTACCGAACAAATAAAGAAAGTAGATGTTTTCTCAAAGACTCGACATGAAGATGTATGGAGTCATTCGGGAACATGCAGAACAGGACAAATTGTTAGTGGTCCAATTACAGCAGGAAAATCATTTGATTTTAAGCTTCGTTTAAGAATTCCTGTTAGAAGATTCCTTCCATTAGAAGCTATTCGATTTATTCCAGCTTTTGCAGGAAACATTCAGCTTAAAGTAAAGTTCAGTAGCGACGCCTTACAATGCACATCTATATCTGTAAATGATATCATTGCTTTCAATCCAACTCTTAAAGTTGCATTTGCTTCAGATTCAAATCCACCGACAAATAAATTTGTTCCATGGAATGAACCATTCACTATGATAACGAAGGCAGTAGAAGCTAGTGGAACAGTTACTATTACAACTGTAACCCAGCAACTATTTCGAACAAAGATGGATTTTAATGAATGTTTCATTCATCCAAAGTCATTCTCTTTAGACCCTAACATTTATACAGAACTTGTAGAACATTATACAAACGAGGCTTTATGTTTTCCTGTTAAAGTTATGGATTGGATTCCTATGGACGGTTCATTCTCAAAGAATACAGATAGTTCAAGTGCAACATTTACAGCAGCTTATACGCCTATTAATGTTAAAAGTATTTGGGCACTATTTAGAAAGAAAGACAACTATTATGTTAATTTTGAGAACCCTAAGTTTAAATATCTTCAGCTTTCCATGGGAGCTTATGGAAATATGCCTGCAGAACCTGAAAAATCATATGGACCTGTATTTTATGAAATGGTTGCGAACGCTTGCAATACAAACAATGATATGATAGGATTTAATGAAGATGTTATGAGGTCATTGGTGGATGATGGTAGTGTGGAACATAAATGGGATAGCTATGACAACACACATTTCTTATGTGGTTTTCCAACAGAAGTGGACTTTTGCTTCCAGCAAGGTCAAACATCTACTGCTCCAATAACATACAAATTGTCTGTTAAAGGACCTATTGAACTAGCAACTGAAAACGTACCAAAGCCACTTATTGGATTTATGAGGGATTGTTGCTTTGCCATTCAGGTGCGTACTAATGGAATCCCAATAATAAGACTTGACGACTATAACTTAGCCACGGACGACAGTGAGGAATAAAGGATGAACGTTTATTTTTAAAGCTTATAAATGAGTTCTTCATCAAGCTCTCGCGAACCTTCACCATCTATGAAACAAACTTTACCAAACGATTATGGAGCACCTATTGAATATTTCTTACGAGCTGCACAATGGCAAAGAGCAGTCTCACCAAGGTTAGGTGTTCCACCAGCTCCTGTCAAAAATAGCATTTGGTCAAGTCCTTATATAAGATATGGTCTCCCACTAGGTTTGCTAGCTACAGCAGGAGCAGTAATGATGTTGAAAAGAAACAAAGCAAATGTTGTAAATAATACTGAAGTAGCTGAAGTTAAACAAACTCCAACACCTTCGCCAAAACCTTCAATGACTCCTGAACCTATGGAAGTACAAACTCCTGTTCAAAAGTCAACTCCTAAACCGACTCCAACATTTAAACCAGAACCTACTCCTCAAATAAATCGTAAAACTCCTGCGTTTCCTTACTGAAAAAATAACGTTATTTTTATTTAATATTAAAAATTTTATTTGATTGAAATGACGACTAAAGTCACTGAAGCAATGAAACAAAAGTTTTTGGTAGAATACATTAAATCAGGAACTATTCCAGAAGGTTTTTACATTCATACTATGAAGGATGGTAGAGTTCAGTTTAGAAAGATAAAGCAACCATTAGATAAAGAAGGAATTTTGAGAAAGATTAAACTTCATGAGGACAACATTGCTGAACTTAAGAAGAAGTTAGAAGAGTTGGAGAAAGCAGACGACAGTGAGGAATAAAGTAATGAATTCAACAGGTTAGAAAAGAGGTTAGAAAACGTGTTAGATCTAACATTCTAACATAAACATTATTTTTGTGCTATGTTTTCATACGTGTGCGGGTGGTGATATCATTTATTTTTTATTTTATTTTTATATAATTTTTTATTTTATTTTTATATAAATGACGAAAACTATTGAGATAACAAACTACAACGGTCATGAGTTCAAGAATTTGTTCTTCGTTCCTCGTGAAAATACATTCTATCAGATACGAGGGAGAAAGGGTAAAGTTAGTTTGAGCGTTTATGAAGGAATGAAGAATGGAAAGTTTATACAAGCATACGATACAAACGGTAAACGTGTTTCATTAGCTTTGTCAAAACTTACTAACATTTATTTTGACAGTGATTTTGACCTATATGAAGAAGAAAGTGAGTCAGAAGATTATGAGCTGTTATGTGAAGCACAGCAATGGGAGGAGTTGCAATACTTTTGTAAGTGAGAACGTTTATTTTTACATTAATGAAGTCGTTTGTGAAAACGTTAGTGAAGTGAAGTGGTTGGCGGTTTTGTAAATATTTAAGGTTAAGTTAGTTTTTGCGTTCATGTTGTAAAATATACGTTAACGGTTTTGTAAATATTTAAGGTTAAGTGGTGTACGGAGGCTCGCAGTGCCACAGTACACGACTTAACCATACTAACTAATGTAAGTCTCGGACGAAAGTAAGTCTGACTTGAAATGTAAGTTTCGGACGAAAGTAAGTCTGACTTGAAATGGAAGTCTGATTCTAAATGTAAGTTCTAGACTAAAGTAAGTCTGATTCTAAATATAAGTCTGATATTAAGATAAGTTTGTAACTAAAATTAAGTCTTATTCCAAAAGCAAATTTAATTGTATAATAAGTCTGGATCTAGAGTAAGCCTTAGTCTACAGCTATTCTGTGTCAAAAATAAGTCACGAACCATAGTAAGTTTCGGACTAGAGTATGTCTGTAATTCGAATCATTCATATTCTTCAATTATCCCGCCAAAAAAATTATCGTCTTTTTATCATACCATAGTTTTTATCAATCTCGTTCTACTAAAAAACCTTTATATTGGTGATTTCTTTGTTAAACCCGTATTTTTTCATGTGAATCTTATTGTATAAACTCTAAAAGTTCAATTTCCGGTCGAAAAAAACTTGAAAACAATTTGTATTCGACGAGTTAAAGAGCTCTATTTATTCTAAATTTTCCAAAAAAAATTAGATTTCGTTTTTTCGCTTCAAAAAATGTTGTTTTAAGTTTTAAAATTTGTAATTCAAAATTTTTTTGGAAAGATTTACGATTTTTTAATACTGCGAATGAGTTTTATTTTACATACTCTATTGATAAATCATATTTTTGTCGAGATATAACTTTTTTTAAAAAAATTATATGCAAAGAGTGTTATAGAATTCTAGAAGGTATAGTGCATAATTTGAAGTATACTATCAAATAAAGAAATTTTACAGTTTTTTAGTTTTATTTAGATGTACGTTATTTTAGATGGCTTCGTCGAAAACAAAGCATGTCTGTTAAGTTTATTCTTAACATGGTAAATAAAATGGCAACGAAGCCCAGTGTACTGCGTCTTATGCCGTAGTTTTTGTTATCTTCATACTCAAATACAACAAATACAAATAGATTTATTACGAAAAAACGTATAAAACAAATGATATATTTATTTCTAGACAAGTTGACGAACATGTAGCGCAACTGTATCGCTTTAGAGAACAGTTCTTCCAACACCTACTCATTCAGTGAAAGATTTAAGAAGAACTCTTACTCGACCTTAACTACCTACGCTTTGCTTGAACAATTCCCAACGAGGTTACTATAAGGTTGCAAGTCTTGTCAAAATGTAGTATGCAATACGTTGGGGAAAAATAGATATATACGAACAAACTACTACAGTCTAGCAACTAGTCTTTAAGTGTAATGTATTTTTGCTACAAAGAGCTCATAACGAAGTCAAATTTTGCAATTTGATGTCAAAACTAGCTAGTTGTTGAATCAAATAGCGTTGTGACTTTGTATACATCACGATCTTGTGGTATCAGAGCTGTACTGCTGCAGACTAATTCAACTAAACATGAGCAAGATTGGGATTTCTATTCTCTGGGGTGCGAGGCTCGTCCAAAGTTCAAGCAGCTACAGTGTTTTGGATCACCTAAAGAATTTTGGGAATTCAGTTATCCGTTACTACTCTTAAATTAAAGTAGAGCACTACAGCGAATCAATCGTAATGCCTAGTCTCTCCAGTAACAAGCTGATCTGCTATATTAACTTTAAAGCCAAATCGATTCACATTGTTGCTGGTAAGTCTGATTGCTTCAGATAGAGAGCATGAATTGCTTCTTTATCATCTAATCCCCATCCCCCTTGTTCCCGATTGGATGACATGGACAATTCATCTTTCTCTAACGAAACAAAATGACACTTTTTGGCGGCTTATTGACTCAGAAAAATTTGAGAGTTAACGAATAATTTTGGCGCCAAAAATAATTTCTCTTAATTTATTAAATTTAATATACGCACATCTATAAGTTATGCTATTTTTTCTATTTATTTTGTTCTAAAATTCTAAATATTTTTTTTTCATAACATAAAATATGATGTCTAGTCTCATTTACATAACAACATGCCTTAGAATAGGTTTTTTATTCTTTTTGTCACTTTAAATTAAGAATAAAAAGATAATTTAAATTGAATATTTGCGATTATTCTCACTAATGCTGCTTCCTCTTTTATTAGGTAGACAACAAAAAGTTAGCCTTGGACTCCCATATCAGATTTTTGATTGGTTGCGTATATAATGAGCTGGGATTGATAGACGAAAACCCAGTGAGAAAATTTTTGACGCCTTTTACCAGATGCATCAATTTTCCTTGAAAACTGTAGTAGTACTGTTGATTCATATACACCTCTAGGTTTTAAGTATTTGACGAATACTTCAACAATCGGAATCAGCTATGATGCGTTTAATGATCGAATTGATTTCAGAGTTGAAAATGAATCAAAAGGATATTATATAAAAACTGATTCACCACCAAATATCTATCGCGTCTATGTATCACATGCTGATAGAAATGAACCTGATGTTGTTTCAGTGAATTTTGGTGAGAAAGCATTCTATTATGGTTTGCCTCCTGGCTACACAACATTAGATGGAAAAATACGTTCTTGTACTAATATAGAAATTCAACCTTACTTTATTTATAATAATATTTTTTATATAATTCTACATTTATTAAGTTAGTTGTAAATGTAAACATACCACATTAAATTACTAATACATGCTGATGTTTAAACGTAGCTGATTAGATTTTTTAAAAGAATTTTATTCATGATAAGAAAGGTTTTTTAAAAAACAATGTATAAAACAATTTCACATATACATGTTTAATAATATAATTACATAATATAGATATAAACAAGCTTAATATTCTTCTGAATCATCAAATTCATTAGCGAAGGGGTCATCATATGGATTTTCTTCATTAAATACAGGATTTTCTGTAGTGATGACAACGGAGTTGAGAGTTTCACCTGCTTCAAGTTGGTTTATTATATCTTGTTCAAAATCAATTTCTTGGTCATCATCATTATCACTTCTATCATCTGAATCATCATTATAGTGTTTGATAACAGCGCAAATGATTGCTAAGGCAGCAACAATGGCAGCTACAACTCCTCCAATGATTATTGGAGTCCAGTTGAATTTAGATTTTGTTTGTGTTGGAGTTGATCCTGAAACACTAATAGCAATTTGTTCTTCAGATTTTGTAACTACTGAATTACTTTCCTCCTCTTCACTTTCTTTAGTAGAAGAAGGAGTGATAACTGGTGTTTCAAACACTGTCTCTTTTTGTGTTTCAGAAACTGTTTCAACAGGAGTTTCCAAAGCAGTTTCAAATGGTGTTTCAAAAACTGTTTCATGAGCTGTTTCAAATGGAGTTTCTTTTTGTGTATCAACAGCTGTTTCATATGGAGTTTCAAAAACTGTTTCATAAACTGTTTCAATTGGTGTTTCCTCGTGTGTTTCAACAACAGTTTCATATGGTGTGTCCATTGGTGTTTCATGAGCTGTAGCAAAGGCTGTTTCAAATGGTGTTTCATGACTAGTAACAAATGGAGTAATGAATGAAGTTTCATGAGCTGTTTGTGCTTCAGTTTCATGAAGAGTTTCTACTGGAGTATTTAATGGTGTTTCGGCAGCTGTTTGGAAGACAGTTTCAAATGGAGTGATTTGTGGTGTTGGTGGTAAATATGTTGTGATTATTTTAGAGATAATATTTGAAATGTAACCAAAACTATCAACAGACCAAATTGTTAAAGTTGAATTCTCCATTTCAGATGTCAATTCAAAATCAAATGAGAAAGTATCACTCATATTTCCTGTTCCTGTTGAATAGTTATTAACCAAAACATTTTCAAATTTCTTTGTTGTTGATGTATAGTTATAGTAAACAGATACAACCTCTCCTGGATCGTAATCTTCAACTGTTCCACTGATAGTTATCTGTTTTCCTGGTCTATACATCTTTTCGACTTCATTTGTGACTTTGACAACAGGTGGATTCTTTAGATTTGATCCAACACCTAAAAGGACTCCCAATGTGATGGAAGAGTTTGGCTTTACTTCTCTATTGAGCCAACCAAAGGAGAATGTTGAGTCAGAGCCAATTAAACTTGAATTATCTGTTCTATTGTCCCAATAATGTGTGTTTATGAGATCAAAAATACCAAACCAAAATGTATCAACATTTTCAACTTTATAGGCATCTTTAACAAGCAAGGTGAGTGTGTAGTTTGTATATCTATCATCAATCATTGTTAAACCTCTGTTTCCACCATACCAATTGATGGATGAGTTATCATTTTGGTCAATTTGAACATCTGTGAAAGAAGAAAGGGAAACTTTATGAGACTTTGTGCCATTGTTTGTGCAAACAAATTGAATGAGCAAATAGTTTTCACCAATTGGCTGTGAAAACTTTGTTTCGACAAGAATATCATTGTAAAATGCCTTACCACCATTTTTGCCTAAAATTGTAATGTTCTTGCCTAAATCAACATTGAAAATCGGGCGGTAGCCTGAATTAGAGTAAGTTGTAGGAACATTGTTATAGTAAACATCGAAATCACTTACATCACCATAGATCCAGTATGGCTGTGTAATCCAATTCCAGGTAAGATTTGAGGCCGAATAAGAAAGCTTGGCGAACGCAACGAGTCCGAACATTAGATATAAATACTTTTCTGGTCGAGTATTCAAAATTTCGTTATTAATAATTTTTTAATTGAAAATTTTGCTTTTTCAAAGTAAATTCTGAATATATTTGGTTTAGATTTTTAATCTATTATCGAATATTTTTATTCTTGAAAATATGATCTATATTTTATATGATATGAACTGCTAAGTGATTCAATAATATGTCTTAAAAAATTGAGAGAGATAGGTGACCATTCAAATTTTCAAAATTTTATCTCATTATTTATATTAGTTATTTAAAATATAATTAAATAATCATATCTATTTTTTTAAAATTTTTCTTCAATGAAAAAATTGCCTCGCGAAGGTTGTGTAAATGTAAACTATTCAAATATATACGGTCAAGCTTATTAATTTTTTACTTGATATTATACTATAAAACTTCTTGTTAGCATGATAAAATCAGATAAAGATAATATAACGAAATAACGGATTTTTTATTATACTGATATCTCAAAATTACTATTCATATTTAAAGACTAAAAGACATTACTTGAAAAATGCGTTAAAAAAATTGAATGGACAAAAAGTTGAACTTCAAATCTCTTTTATCTATTTAAGTTTATTGAAAACATGATTTTGGATTATCTAAATACCAGAGTATTTATGTAATTTAGACTTTTTATTGATTCAAAAAATTTCAAATTCATCAGTCTCAATAACACCAAAAAGATAACTATCAAATAAGGATTAGAGCCGTAAGAAAAAGTAAAGGAATCAGCGTGAAGCAAGGTTAATGCATTTTTTCAAATTTCATTTCACTAATGAATTGAAAAAGAAATTATATTCAAGATATTTTAATATTGTCTGCATTAGTTAATATTTCGAATATCTGATATCTTTATTTTAAGTTCATTCAAAAATTTTATTCGCAAACATTCGATATGAAGAAGATATTACATAATTCACGCAAGTACAAATTATATCATTTGATTAAAAGATATCGAATACACAACCTTCAAAAAATTTTTAAATTAATTTAAGATTTTTACGATGTAAGAATAAAACAAGATAAGTTACTAGAAGCGATAGAGGAAAAATAGCAATTAATTATGCAATTACAGGTTTTACAAGCAACATAAGGGAAGGATGGAACAACTTTCACACTTACATTACAAAATTTCTGATCAACATAGTTTGGTAGCACATAAATATTGATATTAGTAAAATTATTAAAATCACGTTCGCAATTCTGAATAAAATTTCCTGGAAAATAAACTGTCTTTAAGCTATAGTCATAATAAAAGACACTAGGACCAATATGTTTTAAACTTGATGGAAATTTTATTTCTTTTACATTTGACCCAACTCCAAAACTAGTTTTGATCGATTGCAGATGCGAGTCTTCTTCAAATTCAATTACCTTTAAATTTCTTACCCAATCAAAACTTCTAAATTGAATTTCTTCTACAAATTTTCCAATTTTTGCGTAATAAAGACCTGTATACGAAAAAGCTAAAGAACCTATCCTTTTAACACAGTAATATTTATTATTATATTCGACAACAGATGGGATTATTAAGCGTTCAAATGGAACACTTTTATCTGCTAAAGCATTTGCTACTAAATTAGTATCATAGCCCCATTCTTCCGTACCATTTAAAGTACCAATTAGTGCTTCATCATCATTTATTAAATAGTTAAAAAGCCCAATTTGTACTGGAGTCAGACGAAAAAAAGAAAAACTTTAAAAAATTTGAAAAGTGACAAATTAAGATTTCTAAAATTTACATGAATTTCATAAATACAACAATATTATCATCTTTTTAAAATTTAAAGGAGAAAAGTGACAATAAATATATGCTTTTCTTATTATTCGATTCTTGCATAAATACAAACGTAGATGGTATATTTAAAAAAGTCTATGATGACCGTATTATTGTACTTGATACGTTTGGATCATCATACCAACGGATAAACGGAACATTGAAATTAACAAAGCCAGAATACGCGATTTACCCTTGGGACAAGAATTATGATTGGTGCTCAAGTTGTGGAAAGTCTTATGATGAACATCCTTACATAACATTCCACTTAAAAAACAGACTTTTTAAAATCAATGGATATTTCGTCAGAGCTGGATGCTGCTATACAACTCTCTGCTGCTGCCAGTATGATAAATACAAGTGTTTTGACTGCTGTTTATACTCCTGGTCGCTACAAATCTCAGATGACAACAAAACATGGAAAGACATTCACAAAATCGAAAAAGATTCCGAAATGAGAAGATGCAATGAGAAAACATATAACTTAGATAGATCATATACTGCTAAATACGTAAGATTAATACAAAACGACCCTTGCCCGAACCAACCTCCTTGTCTAGCAATAAATAGAATAGATTTCCTTGGAGAAGTAATAACTGATAGCCAAATTGATGGCGAAAATGATTTTGTTTCATACCATGACGATGATGACGACATAAGTATTATTGGACATATTTCTAAAAACAGAAATATCGAAATGAAATAATAAACTATTTATTTTTAATCAAATTTAGTTTTAATCATTTTTATTCAGAATATATTAACTATAAATGACTTCTTTTTAAGAATTTTGATAGGTTTCAAAATCAAATTCTTTGATTAATCACATAAATCATGTAAAATCCAGCACATGCTTCTCTTACCATAAATTTATATATATTCACTTTATATTATATATAAAATTTGAGGATTCAAATTGCTGCCATCAGAATCTCACATATTTTTGGAAATTAATTGGTGCATTTTGATATATACACTACAGAATGAATAATCATGTACCAATAGTTATGAATATTGATTTTCTTTGTGATTTGATTGGATGTAAGAATTTTAACTTTATCAAGAAAAAAAAAAAAAAAAAAAAAAAAAAAAAAAAAAAAAAAAAAAAAAAAAAGGTAGTGGGGCTTCCAGGCACTTCGTGCCTTCTAGCCCTGAAGATGTTTAGTATAAATGAAGTTTTTATTCGGAGGACTCTTCTTCTTCCTCCATTGCTTCTGGGAAGAAGCCTTCTTCTGGGTCGAAAACATTATATAATGTTTCACTTTTCACAAATTATATATGTTTTCATGTTTTGTCACTTTTCTGTCACTTTTCAGGGAAAAACATTTTTATTATTATATATAAATGAATTTTACAAAACCACCGTTACCGTTCTTTGGAAATAAGAGTAGATGTAAAGATATTATATTGAGAGAACTTAAGAAACTACCGAATGGTCTAACATTTGTAGATTTGTTCGGTGGAAGTTTCTATATATCCCATTTATGTCATACAATATTCCCAGACTCAAAGATTATATGCAATGACTTCGACAACTATATGGACCGTCTCAAACATATTCCAGACACAAACAAAATATTGAAAGAGTTAAAAGAAAAGATACCTATAGGTAAGATGGAACGTATACCATTAGATAAGAAAAATATTGTGAGAGAGGTTTTGAAAAAAGCAGAATATATAGACTGGGATAGTATATCTGCTAGACTATTATATAGTGGTGCTATAAGAGTTCATGACATTGAAACACTTATGTCAAAAGTTTTATATCTTAACTATACAAATGTTTTCAAAGAGGACATAGAAAAATATATTGAGGGTATAGAGTTTGTGAGATGTCATTGGACAGATTTGTATGAAAAATATAAAGACAAGGAAAATGTTTTCTTTATAGTGGACCCGCCGTTCTATAACACATGGGATTTTCAATACCAAGTAGACTGGACTTTGAGAGACTCTTTAGAAACTTTAGACGTTATACATAACCATCCATGCTTTTACTTTACATTCGATAAAAGTGGTTTGGAAACCGTTATGAGATGGTTAGAGGACATACATGACTATGAGTTTATATATGACAAGATAGAATATGAGAGAGGTCCTATAAACTGGAGAAAGTGTCACAATAAAGAAATTTTATTAGTAAGTAAATGTGGTTTGAAATAGGACTACTTGTTTTAGGTTTTTTCCATTGTGTCATTTATTTATTTGACGTGGCAGAAAAGTACAGAGAATATGAAGATGAACCAATGCCTGCAAATGTTCAGCATATGTACTCGTAAGAGATATTTTTATCTAATATTAAATGGACGCACAGAACTTAGCGAATGCACAGCAACCTGGACAACCAAACCCAGAGAATATTCCAAATGAAGTTAGAATACAAACTGCAATGGCAAACTATGGTCAAGTGCCAACAGATGTACAAATGCAAACTGCCATGTCAAATGACGCTGCATTAGGTTTGCCACCATGGTATGCAAATATGAGATGGAAAGAGTTTTATACAAACCCTGAAGTGGGATATAAACAACTTTATGCAGATGACGCGAACACAGGAGTTGACCCAGAATATGTTTTCTACCAGAGGAGAAACAGAATGTATGAGCTCCAGTTAAAGAATGCTATGGAACTCAACAGGAAATGTAAGAGACTAGGCGGACATTAGATTTTTACATATAGTAAAATGGGTTTCTTCAGTAAGATAGGAAACTTCTTTCGAAATGTTGGAAGAGGTATATGGAATGGAATAAAATCTGTCGGAAGAGGAGTATGGAACGGTGTCAAAAATATTGGTAAAAGAGTAGGTCAGTTTGTTGGTATTATACCTAAAGACCCTGAACCAGAAGAACAAGCTCCTGTTATACAACAGCCTGAACCTGCACCACAGTCTAGTTGGCAACCAAATCCAACACCTCAACCGTATTAAAAAATTATATTTTTACCGTTCGATAGTAGTTGTATATGAAACTAAGTTCTAAGTAAAACGCATGGTATAATGGAATTATTCTTTTTCTTCCATCTGTAGTAAACCATACTTGAAAGTCTGAAATACTTCCACTTGGTGGTTCGTATAACTTTGTAGGTTTTTCGTAAAAGTCATTTGCCAAGCATAAGAAAGAGTTTTGGGCGCCAGAAAATGAAGCATGAACAATAATAGCAGCTGGGTCGAAAACATCTTTAAATAAATATGGTTCATCTCTTGCATATCGACTGTAAATATTTGCTAAAGGAAGTTCGACTTTCTGATTTAACATTCTTTGCAAATAATACCATGACATTGCAGTGAATTCTGTATATATTTGTTCGTCTTTCTTTGGATTGTCTTCGTAGATTTGAAATGACACTTGTGAATTTTGTTTGTCATATACAATTCTCACATAAAGTGTGCTCTCGGTATTTGCATATTCATCAGCATATTTTGCATAACATGAATTTATTTTATCTTCTATATTTTTTAACGCAGTCTGTAGAGAAGATGAAAGGTCAACTTGTATTAGCTCAATTTCTTCCCACATTTTTCGTTTCCCTTCAGATATATAATCTATATGAAACCTTACAATAAATGGAAAACTTTTATCTTCTACAGACACAAACTTCATTCTACGAAAGCCAATAGCTTTTGTGACAGATGGGTCTCTTAACCATCTTAATGGGTAGTCAAAACGATAGCCTTCATGCTTTACGGTATCTGTCTCAAACTTTTGACCGACATTAGTAAAAAGTTCATCTAATGGTTTAGTTGTAGCAACTCTTGAATTTTCTTTTTCTATTGGAAGCATATTTTATCTATAATAAAAAATGTCAAATGAAACAGCGTCTATGAGAGAAATACAACACAACCGACAACTCATTATACAAGCTCTAAATAAGAACACAACAAACTTTTCAAACTATTCTAAGATATCTGAGTCATTGAAAGAAGGAAACTTAAAACTGACATTAAACCCAATGACAGATGAGTTTCTGTTTCAAGACAATAAGAACCATACTGTCTGTATAAATCCAACAAAGGAACTTTAAACGAGAAACCTATAAATGAACTTCTTTTGAAAGCAGATGTTGACAACACAAGCTGACAAAGAATATGTAGACGATGCAATATGCAAAAGAAGAAGAAAGAGCTAACAATGCTTATGCAACAAAAGAACATACTCATCCTGAACTAGCAGACAAAACATATGTTGACAATAAAATGTCAAGTGAAGTGACAAGAGCTGAAAACGAAATATTCTAAAAAGACTCATACACATTCTATATCTGAAATAACAGACTTAAACGTTAGCCTTGAAAAGAAAGCAGATAAGGAATATGTGGCTAGTAAGTTAGAGAAGAAAGCGGATAAGGAATATGTGGATGAAAAAGATAACGAAATGAAAGAAAGGGTTAACTGGTACCATGAATGGACATCGAAGACTTTTAAAGTTAAAGCCGATACAGGATGGGGTTTCAGGATGTTTAGACCTTAAAGCAGATAAAACTTATGTTAACGATGAGTTAGAGAAGAAAGCAGACAAGAACCATACACATACAAGTTTTACAACTGTTGCTATAGAAAGTATTGAAGGAACGGTTGAAGAAACTGGTGGGGATGCAATATATTGTAAACCTCCTAACTTTCCACAAGGTTTAACATCGGATGACGACATAACGACGATGAGAAACATTAGATGTAAAGATGTTTATGTCATGAAGGATGAATATAATACTAAATTCACTGCTCAAGATTTATATGACAAGAAGGCTGACAAAACAGAGCTTCAAACATTAAAGACAGAAATGCTTCAAACATTATATCCTATAGGCTATATTTATACGTCAATGAACTCAACAAATCCAGAAACAGTTCTGGGTTTTGGAACTTGGACTCAATAGTCGACAGGTTTTTGTATTGTGCAAACTCTTCAAAGGAAACAGGGGGAAGTAAAACGATTTCAGGTGAAAATTTACCTGCACATAGTCACTACATAGATTTAAGTACATCTCAAGCAGGTTGGCATAAGCATAAATTTTGGGATTGGTCAGCAATGAAAAAAGGTAAAGGATATGATGTTAAAGACGACGTTCAGTTTGCTATAAATTGTTTCTGGGTGACACTCAGGGAGATGGAAACCATACACATCGCGTTTCGGGATATACGCAAACAACGGGACAAAGTAAAAAATACATGCCACCTTACATGACAGTTTGTGCATGGTATAGAATTGCTTAGTCGTCATTTTCAACTTCTTTAGCATATTCGTCAGGAGTTGTCTTATATTTGTTAGGAACTGTCTTTGAAAGTATACCACCTTGAACTTTGACAAGTTTGAAACGAGGTCTGACAATAGTCGTTTTATCTTCTGCTTGCAGTGTGTACATTTTGCCATGTTTGCCTAAAACTTCATAATATTCTCTTGTATACTTTCTTCTATTTTTACGAACACGAATGTGAGTACCTGTCGGGTTCCCATTGTTGTCATAGTCAATAGTATTTTCATATGGGTCGCGTTTAGGTATTTCTATTTTTACTTTGTCACCTTTCTGAAGTTTTGAAGCCTGGCATTCTTTCTTGTTTGTCTCTTTTGACTAAATTATTAAATATATAGTCTTTCTCTAAAGTCAGGGTTGTTTTTCATTTCTTCGGGGGAGTGGTTTCCCAAACCTTTTTGTTTACGGTTATTGTAAATATTTTAAAACTTGTCTCATCTTTGCCATGGAGAAGTGTCT